GGGGCCTTCCCAGCCACCTGCCAGCTGAGTTCATTCACTTACTCACTTAACACCATCTACAGAGCATCCACTCTGTCAAAGGCCCTTTGCAAAGGAAGCTTCGCAAGTTTGGCATCTGCTAATATTCAAACATTCATATGTTCTTTTAGAACTGTATTTACTTTGAAAATCACAGTTTTGGAGACACCTCTGCCCAGCCCATACTGGAGTCTGTGTAAGCGGGAATGAGCCCTTCCTGGCAGAAACCACGGAGATGTCAAGATGTGTGTTTGGGACTGTGGCACAGCCAAGCCTAAGCAAACGCAAGGGTGCATGGGAGAAGTTGGCGCCCTCTCAATGAAAGGGCCGAAAACAGATCTTTGTGCTACTCTCCCCCAAATAGTCTGCTTCTCCATAAGCATATGACTCCCCTGAGACCAACGAGCACTACAGAACTCTGGTGGGGCCTACTTGCCCAGACTCACCGTTTCTCCTTCTTGCATTTGGAAGCACTGATTAGGTCCCTGTGAGTCCCAGGGCAGTCAGGACCATGGAGTGATTAGGAGCTTGGGGGCGCTGGGGTCACAGGCTCTGGCCCAAATCTCAGAGCTTGTCCCAGGGGTGGAGGTTGATCCCTGCTGGCTGGGGCCCTTCTGTGGGTGTGAGTGTTCCAAGAAGCCTCTTGGTCACCGGTCACAGCACCAGACCCTCAGTCCCCCCGCAGGTCTCCTACCGTTTGGCTGCAAGAGATTCCTGAGCAGGCAGGTAGAAAATGGCCCTCCTAGGAAGCCACACTGGTCCAGCCACCGTGAACAACAGGATGGAGGTTCCTCCTCAAAAAGTTACAAATACAGCTACCTTGTTATCTAGTAATCACACTACTGGGTGTTTACCCCCAAAATACAAAAACACCAATTCAAAGGGATACATGCACCCCGATGTTTATAGCAGCATTATCTACAATAGCCAAATTATGGAAGCAGCCCAAGTGTCCATTGATTGATGAATGGATAAAGAAGAGGTGGTATATATACACAATGGAATATTACTCAGCCTTCAGAAAGAATGAAATCTTTCCATTTACATGGCGCCTGGGTGGCTCAGTTGGTTAAGTGTCTGCCTTCGGCTCAGGTCATGATCCCAGGGTCCTGATGGAGCCCCACATCGGGCTCCCTGCTCAGCAGGGGAGCCTGCTTCTCCCTCTCCTCCCGGCTTGTGCTCTCTCTCACTATCTCTGTCACTATCTCTCTCTCTCAAATAAATAAATAAAATCTTAAAAAAAAAAGAATTTGAAATCACTTCTTTTTTTTTCTCCTGATTACAAAAGGCACTTTTGCTCCATGACTAAAAGAAAAATCAAACACAGAAACACCTACAGGAGAAAAGAAAGATTACTTATAATCTCATCAGTCCATTAGCCAGAAATGAGCACTCCAGCTCCGTAGCTAAGGACAGAATTAATCTGCAACAGGATAGGGCTCCTACCCTTGCAGATTATTTTTAAACATATATCAAAACTGGTTGAGAGACCCGCAGTTTTCTTCTTTAACCACCATGGGAACAAATGACACTTTTTTTTTTTTTTTTTTAAGATTTTGTTTATTTATTTGACACAGAGAAATAGCGAGAGAGGGAACACAAGCAGGGGGAGCGGGAGAGGGAGAAGCAGGCTTCCCACTGAGCAGGGAGCCAGATGCGGGGCTTGATTCCAGGACCCTGGGATCATGACCTGAGCCAAAGGCAGACGCTTAACAACTGAGCCACCCAGTCGCCCCGACACATTTTGTTTTTAACTCACTAATAAATGGATGTGATTCCGGATTAGCAGTATAGATCTACATGTTCAGGTTTGGTTTGGTTAGTTTTGCAGGCTGCCAAGTATTTTGTGGCAGATACATGTAGAATGTAAAATAAGATCAATTCCAGTAAATGAATACTTTCCAATGAACTTTGAGGAATTTCGTTTTTCACTTTAGTGATATCGATTTGGTTCTCTTTGAACTTGAACAAGAATATGTGAAACATTACAATTTTTCGAAGTGTATTCTATTTCACATGGTAGATTCTCAGGAGTTGATTATATCATCCCCTTTATACCTTTTGTTATAAATTAAGTATTTAATAATAGTGTATTGAAGTCATTAGAATAAATACAATCAGGCAGCTTTCAGAGATCCTAAATACGGAAGCTCTATACCTTTGAAAACCTTTTTAGTTTTCATTGTACCTATACAAATTTATCATTTCTTTTTTTTTTTTTTAAGATTTTATTTATTTATTTATTTTGACAGAAAGAGAGGGAACACAAGCAGGGGGAGTGGGAGACGGAGAAGCAGGCTTCCCGCTGAGCAGAGCCCGACATGGGGCTCCATCCCAGGACCTGGATCATGACTGAGCCGAAGGCAGACGCTTAACAACTGAGCCACCCAGGTGCCCCCAAATTTATCATTTCTTATTCCATTCAATTAAATGCAGAAATTTCAGTTCCTAAGATCTCTACATAAGCAAATATCAGAATGTTTTTCTCAAAAAACTAAGATAACAAGGAGAAATACTAATTCAGAGTTTTTCTACCTACTTTTTAATGAATTCAGTTGCTAAAAAGGACACCGAATTTGAAACTTATTTAAGGATTTTCAAATAAATTATATTTGTATGTTCAAATTCCCTTTCTCTACCCTGGAGGCTCTCTTTTTAAAGTCTGATTCCCTATTTGAAAATGAAGCAATTTGTGAACAAGTATTACAAATCCAAGGTAACACAACCGATCTTTTATCCTTTAATGTTAAAACAATCTGGGTTCAAGACAGTATTTTAGGAATATAACCATGGAACACATGGGGGAAAGATCTCTCCAAAGCTTTATTTTCAAAACAATAGTTTGAATGAATAGTGTTGATTTTTGTTACACATGTAATCTTTCAAAACTTTGCACAATTATTGAAAGTTTGAAATTAAAACTCATACTCTCCTATATACATCTTTATTTATTTATTTTTTTAAAGATTTTATTTACTTATTTGAGACAGTGAGAGCACAATGGGAGGGAGGAGCAGACTCCCCGCTGAGCAGGGAGCCAGAGGACGATGCAGGGCTCATCCCAGGACCCGGGATCATGATCTGAGCTGAAGGCAGACACTTAACTGACTGAGCCACCCAGACACCCCTGTATATGTCTTTGTATCCATGGGTTTTATCCTATACTGGTCTGTTTCTCCACCACATACTCTTTTTCCATGCCAAAAGATGTAGCTTGTTTCATTTTCTTTCAGCTGATGAGGTTTATGTCTAAAAAATCTATCTTATATATGTAATAATGAGACATTTTTGGGACATTTTTGTAATACAATGTTAACTTTCATTAACTCATTAATAGGCGGGGATAAGGGTATAACATTGTACATATATTATTATTATTATTATTTTTAAAGATTTTATTTATTTATTTGACAGAGACACAGCGAGAGAGGGAACACAAGCAGGGGGAGTGGGAGAGGGAGAAGCAAGCTCCCCGCAGAGCAGGGAGCCCGATGCGGGACTCGATCCCAGGACCCGGGATCATGACCTGAGCCGAAGGCAGTCGCTTAACCAACTGAGCCACACAGGCGCCCCATATATTATTATTTTTACGTGAAAATTCAAAGGGAAAAATGTAACAAAATTAGCAAAACTTCATTGGTGGCAGGGCTCCTGGGTGGTGCAGTTGGTTAAGCATCAGGCCCTTCTTTGTTTCAGTTCATGTCCTGGTCTTGGGGTCCTGGGATGGAGCCCCTCATCTGCTCTGTGCTGAGCACTAAGTGGGTTTGGGATTCTCTCTCCCTCTCCCTCTGCCCCACCCCTGCACGCATGTGCTCTCTCGCACACACTCTCTCTCTAATAAATACATACATTTTTTAAAGAAATATACCTGATCTTTAAAAAAAAATTAGTTGGTGGCCAGAGTGGTGGGAAAGCAGATTTGTTTGCTTGTTTTGCTCTTTTTCCTACATCCCAAAAGTTTTGTGATTTTATCTGCTGATGAAGAAAAAAAACCACCTAAAAACGAAAAGATATTTAATGAACAAAATATACAAAGTCTATTTAATTTCATCTTCTAAAAAAAAAAGTTCTATGGGGCTTTTTTATGCTCCTAACTGAAGTTCATTGTGCAAACATGGACTACTACTGCTCAGAAAAAAATATAAAAGAGGACATTTAAAAATCAATGTAATTCCAAAATCTAGATCTAGTCACTGTGGACATTTTGGTGTATTTTCATTCTTTTTACAAGCGTAATCGTTTAACGTAGTCGGGCTTGGAGGATACGTAGACTTCTTTTCCTTGAACATCAGGAGCATTTTCCATGATCTTACTTTCGCCTCAAACACGATTTCTGGCGGCTGCTGGAGTCCTCGGGGTGCACGTGCAGACCGTGCTGAGCGAACATCAGAGTAAGTCCTGGAGGTGAAGTTCCAAGGTCACGGGCACAGACACCCCCTTCTCCACTCTGCCTGCCTGACCGGTGAATCCCGCTCTCAAGCCTTTGGCCCATCTCTTCGCCCCTGTTAGGATGCACTCATTGCTTATCCTTTTTGGTAAGTTCTTTATAAACCAGACACATTGTTCCCTTAGTTGCAGTATTTAGGACAAGCACACCCCCAGATTGCTCCTTGGCTTTTAACGTTATCACCACTTTGGGCATGCGCGTTTGCATTTTCACGTAGTAAAATACATCGGCTTTCCCTTCGAGATTTCCTCCAGGCTCTTCTTGCGGGAAGACCGCATCTGCACGCTCACCGGGACGTCCCACGTAGACTTTTAAGCCTCTTTCCGGCAGAGGTTAAATCTCGACTTCGCCGGCCCCGCCCCCGGCGCGCATGCGTCCGGGCCCCCGCGGCGCCGGCTGGGCCCTCGCGCGCGCCGTCCTTACCCGGCCTGCCCCGCGCCGCCGCCCCCGGAAGTGGCCTCGCCTCCGCGGACGCGGGGAGTGAGCGCTCGAGCCTCGCGGCTGGCGGGGGCCGTGCGGGGCGGCGGGGCGAGCCGGGCCGGGCGGGGGGCCGCCATGGCCGGGAGTCAAGACATGTTCGACGCCGTCGTGATGGCGGACGAGAGGTGGGTGGTGGGGCCGGGCCAGCGTCTGCCCTCGGCTGCGGGGGCAGCGCGGGCCTGGTGAGCCGCGGGCGCGGGCGCCGGGTGGGGGGCGGCCTGGGCCCGCGACGGCCGCGGACGCGTGTGGGGCCGAGGCGCTCTGGCCGCTGCTTTGCTTCTCGGCGGCGCGCCACGTGCCCAGCCGCTCCCCCAGACCCGCCTCCCGGTGCGGGCGGCCCCGAGCATCTGCTGGCCCTGGTGACTGCCTTCCTCTGGGGACGCCCGGTACTTGGGTGGGACGGGCCCTTGCCATCTGGGCGCTGCCCCTTTCCCTTGTTCCTTCGCGGTGGGACATACGGCGGCATTCATGGACATGCTGATGAATGTGTCAGACGTCATCCCTCTCCCTCCGGAGCCCCTGGGAGTGCCCAGCGCCGTGACGGTGGGGACCCGCGGGTTGCTCTGTGGCCATCTTCCAGTGCCCGGCCCGCTTGAGACGCCAGTAGACCTCAGTCCTGAAAGAGAGCGAACATTTAACCATCAGCCGCTGACATTTATTTAGAGCTTTGTGCGAACCCGACAGTGAGCTCAGCGTTGTGTCCCCGTTAACTGTTTTAACCCTCTTTGTGGATTAGATCCTGTTCTTCACCGTGTTTTACAGATGAGGAGGCGAGATCACTCCCCAGGGTCACATAGCCAATAAGTGGGAGCATACACTGCCTCACTGGGGACTCCAGCAAACTTCTGTTTTTGGTGATTGCGGGTTAAGATGGCCCCGCTTCCACTGCTGAGCCCTCAAAGTCCCAGCCGTTGCTCTGCGCTGGGCACCCCTGCCTTCGTACATTTTGTGGTGATCCGATGGCGTTTCTCCCTTCTGGTGTGCTGAGTTGTGACGGAAAGCCCTGTGTACGTGGCAGAGAGTTTTGAAGCGCTTGACGTAGTGTGTAGCTTCGACTCACAGAACTTCGGCTCGCTAACCTGGCTGCATACTAGAGTCACCTAGGGGGTTTCCAAAAGTAGATTCCCGGGCCTTCCTCCAGACTCGCTGAGTAGTGTCGGGGGCGAGGCCCTTGGATTTGTGTCTTTAAAACTTTCCCCTGTGTTTCTGGTATCTTACCAGGTTTGGGATTCACGAATTCGGCCAGAGGCAGATTGGGCTTCGTGAGGTGTGGTGACTTGCCGGCAGAGACTGAGGGGGTAGAGCTGGGATCGTGGCCTGTGACTTAAATTCGATACCCTTTCTACTGTACTGTGTCTTGTCTTGCTGACTCTGGGTAATATGGGAGAGAAAATTCCTGGAAAAATTTTCTTCCAGGAAATACACTCTTTTCTCCTGTTTCTTTGATCAAGCTTGCTTCTCCATCGCAGGTTTCACGGGGAAGGATATCAGGAAGGCTATGAAGCAGGCAACAGTTTGGGTATAATCGAAGGAAGACAGTATGGCACGTTACATGGAGCCAAAATTGGATCTGAGGTGAGTGGGACCCCCCCGCCCTTATTTTTAAAAATGAATCCTTTTCACTCATAGTTTATAGTTTACTGTGATGATCAGTATGGTAGAGCCAGAACTGGAGGCCTGTTTAAACGGCGGTGGACTAGAGAATGTTGATGGAGCAACATTCTTCATCCAGAAGGACAGAGCACGTTGGTGTGCGAGCACGCCTCGTCTCTGCGCTCCACAGATACTGTGATTTTTACAGATGGAAGGTCTGTGCACTCCCGTGCCAGGCAGGCTGTCAGCACCATTTTTTCCAGCAGTATTTGCTCACTTCTTGTGTCTGTGTCACACTTCGGTGATTCTTGCATTTCAAACCTTTTCATTATTACATTCGCTTCGGTGATCAGTCATCAGTGATTATGACTCGCTGAGAGTCTGATGAGGGTTAGTGTTTTTTAGCAGTGAAGTATTTTTTACTGAAGGTGTGTACATTATTTTGAGGACATATTGCTGTTGCACCCATGGTAGAGTAGAGTGTGGTGTAAACACAACTTTCCTATGCGCTGGGAAACCAAGCCGTTCACTGTCGCGGTGGTCCGGAACCGAACCCGTGTCTCTCTGAGGTGTGCCTGTGTAAGGAGGATGAAGTGGTACGGTCTGGGGAATGAGAAAGCCGGTCCTCGGCCACCTCAGTTTACGCCAGCGTATCACGGTGCTTCCGCCACCTGAATCCTTACCCTGTGTCACCCCTTCCCATTGAAGTCCTCTGAAATCCATAGTCGTCTTCTCTTCTGCCCTTTGCCCTCGCTGGGCCCTCGCTATGGACGACCGGCCTTGCTACAGAGGACCGGCTCTGAATGACAGCCTGTGGCAGTCAGGATCACCACAAACTGTGTGGGCCTCCGACAACACGCTGGACTGGGTGGTTCTGGCTCCGGGCCGCACGGTGCTGGAGTCCTGCCTGCAGCCATGGGAAGGCTCGCCTGGGGCTGGGAGGGCCACTTCTGAGAGGGCTTACTCACACAGCTGCTCTTGCCGCGTGGACCTCTCCATAGGGCTGCTGGAGTGGCCTCATGACCCTTGGGTCAGTGATGCAAGACAACAAGGCAGGAGTGACGTCGTCTGCTATGCCTAAATTCAGCAGCCATGCGCGGGGCCACCCCGCTGCAGTCAGAGGGGACCACACAGGACATGCAGACCCAGGGGCGGGCCCAGCGGCACCTTCTGGGAGGCTGCCGCCCCACTGAAGGCTCGGCCACCTGACTTCTGTGGTCTCGTGCCCAGCAGGTGCTTCCAGAACCGCAGCGTGAGAAGCACCACTGTCCTTCCTCCCCACCTTTAGTTTCGAGAGCTTGATAATTAGATACAGTGTAGCTTGTTGCTTATTAATTTCACGCTTAACTGTTTTGTGAATTCACAGATTGGGTGCTATCAAGGCTTTGCTTTCGCTTGGAGAGGTCTCCTTCACAGTTGTACCACTAAGAAAGACAGGTAAAGTTTAAGACTTCTTTCTTTTTCATTGTGTGGAGGAGGAGTGTGGTTCCATAGCTTACTCTGACTTGGGGCAGTTCGTGCCTCAGTTTTCCTCATCTGTCACGTGGAGAAAATAGACCAAATTTGAATGTTGTCACATATTCACAGGAAATCGTAACTAGCGCAGAGCTCATTTTCGGTGTCTGGTGAACACGCGTTATTACTTGTCGAGCCTTCTTGGGGCCCTCGGCCTTTTCCCTGCAAGCATCAGAGCACCAAGTGGATTTTAGATCCCCTGCCAGTAAAATAATGTTGAAGTGGATGCTGTCTTCTCGTTTATCTTTCCTCGGAGCTTCTGATAAACGCAGTACGGTAACCTTGGTATGACTAGGGTTGGAAATGGTGACTCTGTTGTCACTAGGTTTTTAGTGCAGCCAGCGAGGTGTGCTAGTGAGATAAGGTGGCGTGTTTAACACGTGTTTGGTTCTTGGAGGCACTGAGTAAATGCTAGCTATTTTTCGGATCATTTGTAGTCTTTTTAAACTGTTCTCGCCATGTGCTACCCGCCGAAGCCCCCGGGACCCTGTTGCACATCTGTCTTCATTCTTTTTTTTTTTTTAATAGATTTTTATTTATTTATTTATTTATTTGAGACAGAGAGAATGAGAGACAGAGAGCATGAGAGGGAGGAGGGTCAGGGAGCCCGATGCGGGACTCGATCCCGGGACTCCAGGATCATGACCTGAGCCGAAGGCAGTCGCCCAACCAACTGAGCCACCCAAGCGCCCATCTGTCTTCATTCTTAACCTGGGAACGAACCCTGAGGTGAAAGGCACGGGTGGCCTGGCTCTCCCGCTGCTCCTGGGAGCCCAGAGTCCGCTTCGGCTGGTGCCCTGCCTCCTGATGTCTGCTGCCTTTGCCTGGCCTGGGAGGGGCCCAAGGAGAGTGGATGACAGCAGGGAAGGTGGCAGTCCCCTGTCCGAGTGATTCGTCTTACTTGAAATATTTTGAATTTCTAAAATTTGGGCACCTCTGTATTCGAATATGAGGACAAGGGTGCTCACAGCTGACTGTGGGTGATGCTGAGATGGCCTGCCCTACCCCGATGGAGTCCCTGGGCCGCTCCGGCAGCACGAGTTGCTGGCAGTGGACCAGATGTATACGGGAGCCGAGGCGCAGCCGGGGTGGGGATGGTCCTCTGAGGACTGCGAGAGCGGTTGGGATGGCGCTTGGCAACTTGGGGCGCCACTGGGTGGCAGTCAAAGCCGAGCTTGGCTCTCTTCTCCGCTCCTCTCCGCTCTGCGCTCCAGTCCGTCAGAGGATGAGCAAGGCCGTCCTTGGAGCTCTCCCTCAGCCTCCCCTTCTCCGTGACTCCGACATGTGCCGGCTCCTAGAGGAGCGCCGTACCCTGCGTGGAGGGTCGCACACCCAGGGGCTGCCGCCCCGGCCCCCCGAGCAGCGGCCCCCTAATTTCTTAAAGCCACGCACCCTGTCTGTCTCAGCTAGAGGGGGGCCCGCGCTGGTTGGCTGGGGGCTGGCAGAAGCCGTCCAGCGCGCCTCGCTGTCGCCCCCTCCCCACCAGCGCAGCTCGAGGGCCTCCTTGAAACGCAACCTAGAAGCCTGTCTCCTAGGGCTGTGGGTCACGGTTTTTTGCATTCTTATGTTAGTACGGTTTTTAAATAATGGTAGAAGGCTGATAGAGGATCTTCTGTTTCTTTACGTTCCAAGTAAGGGAAAATCCCTATCTGCGTTATCATTCAGTAAGATAAGGGGCTTTTAACGCCAGAGAAACCACGGAAGGCGGTATCTCAGACTGAAGGATGGGGCTTTATGTCAGACGACCGTGGCTTCCTGATGGACTCGGAGGTGCCCCCCGCCCAGCAGCCTGGTGGGGCCGTGTGCAGGCCAGCGTTTGGCCAGGGCTGAGCTTGAGCTCTGCCGTGTTGTTGGATCAGCCGGGAGCGGGCACACCCCCCTGACGCACACCGACTTTGACGGTGTGACGGGCTGGGTGTGTTTCGAGTAGCTTCACTGACCAGAGAAGAGTAAGTTGCTACTTGCCTAGTTAAAAGTGGCTGGCATTCTTACCACGCTGGAATACAGCCGTTTCCCACATGTTGGCATTGGCCTTCCATCGCCCTGGAAACCGAGTGCTTTGTTGCTTTAATTTACTTCCTTTTGACCTTTTACAGTTTGTATTAGGTAGCCATCTCGTTCTCATAAACCGACTTGCCGTCGGCAGACTTCCTTGCGTACCTAAAAATAGCAGTTATGAGCAGGTACTTAGGAGATGTTGGTTGCTTTTGAGTCATCCTGGGGAAGAGTTCTGTTGAATTCCCATTAATCAAATACCTAGCATCCTTCTGACACTCAGATGACCCAGTGTGGTCTAGGGGAGGGTGCTTGTCAGGATCACTGTGCATTTCCCAGATGTGCACATCTGGGAATGGTCTCCCCCACCCCCAGGTGTGAGCCCCGGTATCCAGGGTCCCATGGAAGCCAGGAGACTTCACGCTTACTGAACACCTACCCTGTGCTAGGTTTTGGGCTTTACGGAGGTTACTTCCCTTGAAAGCCGTGAGGTGGCTGTTAAATGTGCATGTTACAGAGAAGTTAAATACCCGAGGGCCTGGGAGCCACCTCGCCTCCCAGCAGAGCTTTGCCTTCCTGGGAGAGGGAACTGGACCCAGATACCAGACACTGATTCTTGCCCTTTGGAGGGAGGGGCTTGCTGGTCTACCTGCCGCTGAACTCCCCAAGGCTGTGAGCGTGACATTTCTGGGTCCCGGAAAAATCCCAGGCCTACAACAGGCTAGATCGTGTCCCACCGCTCTTTTCTTGCCTGGTTTTGTCTGTTCCCACGTCTGTGACCTAGGGGAGGTCGGCGGGTTGCCTCAGTTGCTTGCTCCCTGGCTGGGATACAGGTATATCCATAAGCTTGATACGTACTTGATGTTGAGTGCGGGGTGTGGGCAAGGGTACGTTGCTAGGTAAATAAATATTGAGTGTAGTGAGAAAATTATTCATCCGGCTTCTGGACTCAGGCATGCTGAGCACGCCCATTGCTTTCAAGTAAGTGATCAGGGTCGTTGTTACATAAGCAGAGCCCACTGTGTACAAAGGACTAAAAGTTTTTATTTCTGTGCTTTACAGCAAAAAGATGAAGGCCTTAGAATCGTTGATTGGAATGATTGAGAAGTTCCCTTACGATGACCCTACTTACGATAAACTTCACGAGGACTTAGACAGAATTAGAGGGAAATTTAAACAGGTTTGTCCACTGCGTGTCTCTCTTTGATAGGAGTGCCTTTCTCCGAGCCAGCTGTGTGCGGTCCTGGGTGCTCATGTCGCTCGTGGTCTCGGGGCTGCTTGTGTTTTGTGCGTGGTCCACAGAAGCACATCATTTTTATGTTTCTATATGAGAAAACTGAAGTCAGTCTAGAGGATGAACAGTCGTTAGAACTTTAGGGGTTGTGTAGACACGAAAAGCTGTAGGTAGAGAGAAAGTTTTGTTCTAATTTGTGAGTAGAAATATATAAGATTTAAAAAAAATACATCTTTTTTCTTCTGTGTTTTCAGCTTTGTTCATTACTAAATGTTCAGCCGGACTTTAAAATTAGTGCGGAAGGTTCTGGACTTTCATTTTGAGGATGACAGATGAACAAAGACGAAACATCAAGGAACAGATGTCCGTATGTTCAGTGTTTAAAAATGTGATTCAAGGCAAAACAATGATGGAGTATTCATTGTTCTGTGGGGAGGGTTCCAGTTTGGCCAGTGAAAGGGCTTCCTTCTCCCCGGGGGCTGCCTGTGTCGCCTGGGTGCCCCCTGTGGCCCCTCCACACAGGCTCAGCCTTTGTTGGGCCCTGTCTGCTCTGCAGTCTGAGTCCCTGCCAGAGCCCTCGTGAGGCCGCTCACTCCTGGTCCAGGGTTGCTGGCCTGTGGTCCCCTCCAGCTGGGCAGGCCTGGCCGGTTCTAGACCGGGGGTGGCTCTGGCTAGGATTACCCCCCGAGCCTGGACTTGGCGCTCAGAAGAGCAGTTTTTTAGGAACTGAGAGCACCAGGGTTGATGTGACGTGAGTTGGAGGCGGTGTGCCAGGGCTGACATTCACTGACCCTGAGGATGTGCCGGTGCTGGGCGCTGGGCTTCCCTGTTCTGTGTAATCCCTTCAGTGTTCCCACTTTACAGATGAGGAAACCGAGGCCCGCGGGGACTGCCCAGTCCAAGGGATCAGCAGCAGAGCTCGGACTCCGATCCTGCGCCTGCCTGTCACCGCCATCTTGTGCTGCCTGCCCTGGAACGCGCGGTCACGGCGATGGAGTGGGTCGCTGTTCTCAGGCCCAGGGTGCGCGGGTCCCCACTGTGCTCCGTGGAGCCACGGGGAGTCACTGTGGCCAGGTGACACGGCATCTGGCTGAGAGGGGCTTCAGAGGGAGCCTGGACATACTCTTCACACCGTTTCCAGATGGGGGTGGGGCTTTGCAGCATTAAAATGGTTAAGGCGGGAAATACTTCAGGCCAAAGACTGAATGTTGGGCTGCTGCTGTCTCTACAGAGTTCGGGAGCCTTGCGTTGAGGACACTGGGTATCTCCTGTAACACGACTCCTCTTGTCTTCTGCCCGTACTTCGCAGGCATCTGTATCCACAGGGAGGTACTGGGGGCTGTAGGAGGTTCCGTCAGTGATTCTTGAGCATCTCTCTGCCCGTCCCCTTGCGCACCCCCCAGGGGGGTGCCCCCAGCATCGCTGGCAGGTCCCGCCTGCTCCCGTCCGAGGCAGCGTGTCTGAAAGTCATGCGTGAGACGAATAAAGGGGTAACCGGGAATCTGTTCCAGTTTTTAACATCATCCTGGATCGTCTTAGCGGTTGTTGCCATGCTGCCCAAGCCGGTGGTCCTGAGAGCCCGCCGGGAGACTCGGCTGGGGGCCCCGCAGGAGCAGGTGTGGGTGTTTGCTTCCCTCTCGTCCGGTTCCCTGGGTCAGTGTGCTGAGGGAGAGACCGGGGCTTGACCCTGCCATGCCGCCGCTGGCGTGTGAGTCCCCGAGCACGGCCCTGGCCTTGGCCGCCCGAGCTCCCGGGAGCTGGCGTGCTCACGGCCGTAGCCAGCGCCTGCCCGCGACCCGATCCCGCGGCCACCAAGGCCAGCAGCCGACCTCCCTCGCCAGTGGGACGGGCCAGGGGGTGGGGAGGGGGCGACTGTGGTGGTTTTCCTTGATGGATTGTTGTGTTTTCTAAGTTCTCTATTGTGGTAATATATTACTTTCACAAGTGGAGAGAAAAATAAATAGCCAGTTTTAAAGCAAAAGGCTGTCTGTGGGAGCATTTATAATGTGATATCCAGCAAATTCATTCCTTACTCCAAGGTATCTGGGATCCAGGTCCGAGGGCAGGCGTGTATTGAGTGGGCCAGACCGCTGCTTCCTGTTACGTTTCTGTCCACATGTCTCATTAAAACATGTTGTAGACACAGTTCCTGCGAGAGAATGGTGCCCCGTGATGAACGTTAGAGGAGGGGTTCATTCCTCCTCAAGGACCCTGGCTCAGCCACCTGTCAGCCGTTGTAACTGATCCCTCCTGCCCAGACTCCCTCTCTGTCCCCCACAGTCTCGGCCTCCCGTTCCGGGGTTTCGTGTGAGCCGCAGGCAGCCACGGGAGGTGGAGCTGCCTCCTGATTTCCTTCAGGTCTCTCCGGACACCAGGCTTGACCTGTGCCTGCCTGGATTCGGTTTCCAGGAACCTCTGGTCGCCCTGACAGACCCCGATTACGGCACAAACAGGGCACCTTAACGCTTCCTTTGCTCTGTCCCAGGTGATGCCATCTGCATTGATGGGTCAGGTGTGAGCATGGCTCTTCTTGGCCGAAGAGATGGTAGTGGAAGTCTCCTGAGGGCCTCTGGGAAAGGTTAGGTCACTCTGGAGAGAGATCTTACCTATTTTGGAAGTTGTCCCATGGAATTACTTGTCCCATGGAGGTGACACCTGGGCTTACTACAGGCAGCTGATCCCTGGCTCTGGATGAAGCCACACCTGGGCACGTGTAGCAGAGCTCTGGAGAGAACCTGGCCCTGGTGACCTTGAGCAGCTGACAGCCAGCCCCTGAGCTGCTTTGCTTTTGGACTTCATGTTACACGAGCTGATGAATGTCTTACTCTAGTTCAAGGCTGTTTGGGGGGGCGGTTTCTGTTGTTCACAGGCAAGGTATCCTGCTTGCTCTCCCCCATCCCATCCGATCCTGTCCTGTGTACCTACTTCTCTTGGATGTTGACCTTTGTCCAGATTGGCCTTGAGTTTGGGAGCTCTCTGGTGTGGGTTTTGTTCCTTTCTGATGGAACAAAAACATTGGTTTCCCAGAGCTTTGGCCTGCTCTCTCCTTCCTGCTGGAAACTCCCAGCATATTTTGTGCCACTATTGGTCCACTCAGGCCACCATAACAGACACCACAGATGAGGCTCACTCAACAGACAAGTACCGTCTCCTGGTCCTGGAGGCCAAAGCCCGAGGTCCAGGCGCGGGCGGGGTGGGGTCCTCCTGAGGCCTCTCTCCTTGTGTATGGACGGCCATGCTCTCCCTGTGTCCTCATGGGGTTGTCCCACCGTGTGTGTCTGTGTCCTGTAAGGACCCCAGTCACACTGGATCAGGGCCCACCCTGGTGACCTCATGTTACCTTGATCACTTCTTTAAAGACCCCCGTCTCCAGATACGGTGACGTTATGAGGTGCTGGGGGTCAGGATTTCAACATTGGAATTTTGGGGACACAGCCCGTAGCCACCCTGAGCGGCTGCTGGGAAAGAATGTTGACCTAGGACTTAGGAGAGGAGAAAACATTTCACCTGGAGCTGCTTCATCGAATTCTGGAATGTGAGTCATCGGGACCAAGGGCAGTCTGTACAGGCCAAACTGTCCTAGGAGAGGGCCACGGTTTACTTTTTATTTCATATTCACCATGCTTTTTCTCCACCCAGGGTGAGAAAAGGATTTGGAGGCACTTGGGGAGCCTGTAAGTGGTGTGTTCAGAATGAGGGAAGGGGAAGGTGGGCAGGGAGGGCTTCCTAGAGGAGGTACCCTTCACCCTACTGCTTTATGAGCTCTCATGTGACCTCAGCCCCACAGACCATTTCCCGTCCTATCTGAGAACAGCAGTGTAATTTGGAGAGATCGAAAACTGTAATTACCCTGTGAGGTCCTCCTAATTCCTACGGTAATCCCAGTCCTGAATGAATGAAGTGGGGAGCTGGTCTTTGACTCAGGAAACTGAAGTCACCAAGCAGGGATGGTTGACCAGAGACAAGTGGGCACAGTGTCCCAATTCCTACAGGATCGGAGTCCTGTAGTTGAGGGCCCTGCCACGGAAGGCTGGATGGCTTGTCCAAGTCCACGTGATTAAGTGGCCCAGCTGGGGCTTTGCAGATTCCTTGTCCGAGAAGGAAAGTCACTCCTAACTCTTCGGGGACTTCTAACTCCTTTCTGATTAAAATCGTCCTTCCTTGGCATCAAAGTCCTTGCTGGTCTGTCCCTCGGGGGCCCTGCGGAGACAGCGCTTTGGCCACGTCTCTCTAGGGCCCTGTAGCAGATCAGCTGGGCCTTGGGTGGTGGGGCTGGAGGTTCTGTCTTGGGTGGTACCCAAGCATGACCCCGTTTCCACTGCTCAAGAGTGATGTGCTGGGGAGCGCAAGTGCCCTGGAAACGCTTGCTCACTGAAGCCTTAGTGATGGGTTGGTTCCATCTTTTATACAGGATTCACTGAGCACCTGCTGTTCCCTGTGGGGGAGTGCCCCTGGAATGGCGGGGTGCTCACTGAATCCCCTGAAATTCACCTGTTTCAGGTTGAATTGTCCCCCCCCCCCAAAAAAAAGCCATGTTGCAGAGCTAGCCCCTGGTACCTTTGACTGCGACCTCATTCAGAAGTAGGGTCTTTGCCGATGTGATTTAGGCGTAAGTTAAGATGGGTCGTACTTGCGTGGGGGAGCGTGACTGTCCTCGTAAGGAGAGGAGACACATACAGGGAGGGGATGCCATGTGAAGGCAGAGGCGCAGGCAGGGCCGAGATGGGAGTGATGCAGCTATAAGCCAGAAGGGGTGCTAACCAGCAGCCACTGGAGGCTGAGAGAGCGTGGCCCTGACCACACCTTGATTTCAGACTTCCAGCCTCTAGAACTCAGCCCTATCGTTTATATTGGGGTTTATATCGTTAAATCTGGAAAAGGTAGAAAACACACGTACGTTGTTATAGTTAAGAATCTTTGAGCACCAAACGACAGGAAACCCATATCAATGGACTTAAACAGAAGGATAGTAACTGTCTCCTGGAACAAAAGGGGGGATCTCCCTTCAGGAGAGGCTTGATCCAGCAGCTTGTCCAGAGAGCTGGTACCTTCTTTCTGCTCTGCCGCAGGGCTGGCCTCAAGCTCAGAGTCCACCCTGTGGCCCACAGCAGCCCCGTCAGGGTGGTGGAAGAGCCACACCAGCCCCCGGAGTCCTGAGGAAGAGAGGGGAAGGCTCTCTTTTTCAGAAGCTTCAGAAAATGTCTCTCCCTGTCTCGTTGGCTCTGTTAGATTTCACATTCACCCTTGAGCCTGCCACCTGGGGTGGGGGGCGGATGTGCTGTTGGGTTTGAGCCTGTCAGCGCCTGTCCTGGAGCTGGGGATGGGGTCATTCCCACCCAAGCAAGCCACAGAGCAGAATGGTCAGCACCAGGCAGGGGATTGGGGCTGGCACGAAGAACAAGAACTGTCTGCTTCATGAGCCCAAAGAGGGAAGGAAGTATGGCCTTGCCCCTGCCACCCGGAGAGCCTCTCCTTCCACACCTGGATGACGCATGGGGTGATGCTGGCCTTTATTGAGGAGTGACTGTGTCGGGCGCCGTGCTAAGTAACGCACACACTCGGGCCGTGTAGCCCTCACCCCAAAAAGCGCTCACTGAACTGAGGTTACTGGGCCCCTGTTCTGGGCTGGGTCAGGTCAGAGAGTCCGAGCATCAGACAACGCCCTGCCCTCCTCCGAGCCTCCGTTCTCGTACACACAATTATCCCCATTTTTCAGATGAGAAAATAGAGGCGCAGAGAGGTAAAGACACACAGCCGGAAGGTGGCGGGGCCAAGATCCAACCCCTGGGTCTTTTCCTCCAAAACACGTATGTGTACTGCGTGCATGTATGTGTGTGTGAGCTTTCTTTCTGCATGACAGTCGGTCACCTTACACCTCTGCTGCCAGTGGGCCTGGCTGTCCTTCTCCAGGCGCACTGACCAAGACACTGGCCTGACTTCAGGGACTGCTGACTTGAAGCCTTGGACATTGGTGGACCTGACCTCGCCCCCTGGGCCTCCTGGCAAAGCTGGGCCCCAAGTGCATGCACTTGCCTTTGGGTGAAAAGAGCCACATGAAGGCTTCGTCCATTTTACTTATTTATTTATTTATTTATTGAATTAAAAAAATGTTTTTTAAAGATTTTATTTATGTATTTGAAAGACAAAACAGAGCACGAGCCGGGGTGGGGGGAGGGTGAGGGGCGGAGGGACAAGCAGCCACGCCAGTGGATAGGAGGACAGGCTCCAGACACAAATCTGGCCCTGGGCCCGGCCCCAGCAGTTTCCGGGCTGTGTGATCCTGGCCCAGTTACGGTCCCCTCTCTGGGCCCTGGTTTCCTCATCTACCACAGGAGGCTGAAACTGCCACCCTCAGCCCCCCTGCGGCCCACTGCCCATTTGGGCACACAAAGCCCGACTGGCACGCGGCTTCGCTCATTCGTTCACCGCCATCCGGGGCTGCTTTTGCCCCAGGGCGCAGTTGAGCGGGACGGAGACCCTGTGGCCAGCAGAGGCTCGGCCCCCCCCCTAACCCTTTCTGTAGAACCTGCCCGCCCTTGGCCTAGAAGGCGGAGATTGCAGCCATGAGAACACAGGGCCCGCTCACCAGGTGGTTTCAGGATTTAGGGGGAGACCGTGTGTTGGGCCCTGAGCACAATGCCTGGTCCACCGTTTGTGCTCGGTGAGCAGGGGCTGTGACTCTCCTGAGCTGGGCGAGGGCAAGAGCGCCAGGGGCCGGGGCCTGGGACGCTCAGCTCAGAGGGAGGCCATGTGGAGACAGCCGCCTGTCTCCACCGCCTGTAGCCGAAAAGGAAAAGGATTGGTGGCCCCAGCCTTCTCGGAGGCTCAAGGCCGACTGAAGCGCCCTCAGGAGGGCTCCGTATTCCTCTCCCCCACCCTCCTTGCGTGCCCCTGTGAGTGGCCGTGACAGTGCCCCGGATGTGGGCCCCAAGGCCCAGGCCGGAGCTGCCCGCCCACCGTCGGCTGGCTGTTGTCTGCCCCGGGCCTCAGTGTGGCTCAGGGCTGGGGGCCGGCGGGCCAGGGGGCTGTGGGGACGGATTAGAAGCCCTGGGCTGCGGCCCCCTCTGCACAAACTCCTGATCAAAGGCATTCCTGGGACGACAGCCTGGTGTCCTGCAGAGGCCTGTCCAGCGCGCGGGGCGCACGCCCCACGCCGCCAGCCCGCTGGGTACATGTGTCCCTCTCTAGCCCAAGCTGCGGTGCCCGCCGCTGGGAGTGGCCTGTGGTGTGACTGTCCCCAACCAGTCGCCGAGCCAAGGTGTGCGGGCAGCGAGGCTTCCAGGAGGCCCCGGGGGCCACAGGCTCAGATGGGTTCTGGGAGCCTGACATGGTGGCTGTGGCCGTGGCCCCTAGGAGCCCGGCAGTGTCCACCTCTGCAGATCTGACTCACCTTCCAGCTCAGCGCCGTGTCCTCATGACGCGGGGGTCTGCCCACCGCACCCTGGGTCAGGCAGGGCTGCCCCTCTGCAGCTCACAAAGCAAGCTGGGCCTGGCCCGTGGGCCCAGGGATGCTGCCCTTTCCATTCTGGTCCCGTTCCCACTTCTGAACACCTACCATTTGCCAGGCTGGGAATAGGGCCGCAGAGAAGGAACAGCAAGGCACCTGTCCTCGGGGGCTCATAGCCCAGAGTGGGGAGCACCCAGCTATCGTGATTCCTGGACCTCCCAGAGCCACCTGCCAGGGCCAGGGGTGGGAACGCCTGCAGGGGGCCCCCGACGGGAGGGGGGCACTTCAGGCACAGAACTGGAGGCAGGAAGTAGTTTGGTGTACCTGTGGTCCCATGGGTGCAGACTCGGGGCTGGAGAGCCTGAGGCTGGGGGAACAGGAGGGAGGGGGCAGAGGTGAGGTGAGGGGAGCGGTGCGGGGGAAGATGGGTGGGGGTGGACAGGGTTGAAGGGGAGAGCTGGCTTAGGTGTCAGGACCTTGGATGGAGCTGGAAGGAGCTAGAGGCCCCTGAGGGTTTGGGCACAGGTGGTTGGGAGGTAGGGCAGGTCCCAGGTGAGGCGGTGGGGCCCAGCGAGGATAGGCTTTCGGGCTTGGGAGAGGGGCAGCAGGGGGTGACTTCATCCCAGAAGTCCCTCAAAGGCCATTTGTTTTCTCTCACAGATGCTTGGGGCAGCCAGACCTCCCACCAGGGGACAGGGTGGGTGCTTTGCCAGGTCAGGCCTAGAGTCCTTTCCTGGGATCTTCCAGAAAGACCCGAGGCGGGGTATGGAGGATTCCAGAGCCCTCCTCCCCACTGCCCTCTGCACTGCGCGGGGGCTCCGGCTCTCCCCTCCCCACCCATGCCTCCCTGCCTTTCCACTGAACCCGCGGACCAGTTCTGCAGGCCTGGCTCCCCCACTTGCTCACCCCGATTTCTGCTTGAACCTGATGCAGTGAGATTGTTACCTCTGCTCCCCTGAAACCGCTCCTCAGGATACCTCTGGCTTGCCCCTGGGGCTGGGTGCCTCCCCTGGCTCTGACCGCCCCTCGGTCTGCTGTGTCAGAGGCCCCTTCGGTGTACCTGCCCAGCGTGGGGCTGCTGTGGGGAAAGAAGCAATCCCAGTCCCAGCGCACCCACGCTGCTCCCAGGTGCTCCAGTGCGTAGCCCATCTGGAGGCTTCCCGCTGGGAGGAGGGGCACCCTGTGGAGCAGGGCTGTATACAGCAGGAGCCTCATAAAGGCCCCAGCAAATTGACCTGACAAGGAGTGATATCCTTGGCATGTGACCCGGCTTCCCTTCTGGGCACTCACCACCCGACAGCCCGGGGGCGGGGGGCGGGCGTTGAAGACACGCTGGGGACCCCAGACTCTGGGAAGAGGCCCAGGCCCCGTGGAGCTGGCCCTGAGGCCTGCTGCTGCCTTCCCTGTCCACTCCCCACCTTGGGCTGGAAACGAGGCCGGCCACGTGCATCTGAAGCCGAGGTGGACGTCACAGGTGTCCGCTAGGTCTCCCAGGTCACTGGGTCCGCGTGAAAGGCCACCGGACTGAAGCCCAAACATGCGCTCTGCTGTCCTCCCCAAGCTGGGGGTGCCTCGGGGACCGGGACCGTGATTCACCGAGAGCAAACAGCAAGTTTGCGCCAGAGGGTTGGGGAAAGCTGGCTTGTTTATTTTCCTATCTGCAAATAGCCTGGTGGGGGGGTGCTGGGGAGACGTGGGCTGGGAGCTGATCCTGATCTCGCCACTCAGGTGGTAGGAGCCGCCTCCGCAAGGCGTCCTGACCTCTTCCCAGCCCTTCCCCCATTTCCTCGAAGCCGAGAGCATCACATACTCCCTCTGGATCCCAGGGGACCTCTGGCAATGTCACAGTCATTTTCAGTGACAGTGAAACAACCAGAGACCGTCCTGCCATCTGGTGAACGGAGGCCAGGGGTGCGGCTCCCCGCGACGGAGGAGGATCTGGCCCCAAACGTCGGCAGTGGCAAGGCAGGCATCCCCGGCTGCCTGCCATCCCCCCAGCCCAGGACCCAGCAGCTCGGGCCCTGTTCCCCCGCCCCGCGCCCCAGGAAACAGGCAGGCACCGTACCGGGGTTTTACCGATTTTATTTCTAGACTTTTCACGTTTGTCTTTTGCTTTCTGCTGGGAACGTGCCGGTTACATGTCTGTGCCACGGTGTGCAACCAAAACACACACAGACCAAGAGCGCCCACCCCCAGAGACCCTCGCAGACTGGCTGGTCACAGGACAGACTCCACTGTGCTCCCCAGGCCTGCCACCGGCCTTTGGCCTTTGAGCACACAATGTTCAGCCCCCCACCCCCCCACGAGGACAGACCGTCCCTCAAGGACCCCGTTTGGTTCAGACAGAGATGCCGCAGCCAGAACGGATGAGGTAAGCAGAAGCAGTGTTCCTGCAGGGGCGGGGCGGGGCGGGGCCGGGGCCTGCCAATGGCCAGGGAGCACCCAGGCTGACCCAGCGGGGGGCAGGGGCCGCCCGTGGTGCAAATCCTTTTGGTTCGGCAGCGTGCTAGGCGACTCGGGCACACAGCACTGTTAGCTGGCTTCACTGAGATCTGGAGTCTTTTTTAAATTAGCATTATGCTGCAATGAAGAGAACAAACAGAACACTAGTACATAACGACAGAGGCGACACCCGGAACTTTCACCAAGTCCAGAAGTGATTCCGCTCATCCCGAGTGACTGAGTCCTGCAGCACTGCGGTGGCACGTGACGACACACTTGTTACAATAATAATAATATAATAATGCAACTTTCATAGCTACACGTAAAGAACAATACGGCTGTAAAAACTAGGACGGTGGCACGTCCCAGTCGGGTGGACAGCCCAGGGTTACAGGCGCAGGGGGAAGGAAGCGGTCGCGGCCCCACGGACGCCACGCTGCGTGCTCGCTCGCGGCCCAGAGCCCACCCTACCAGGCCCATTTCGTGATCCCGGTCCGCGTGTCCTCGGGAGCGGGAGGCCGCGGGTCAGAAGGAGCCTGACCGCCTGGTCTACACATGGCTAAGAGAAGCATGAGGTATCGTGAAACAGGAACCTTTTTGGAATAGAGCAGTAAATCACATTAAGTCAAAATTGATCACATAAAAAAAAAAAAATCTACCAAAAAAAAAGGCATCCTTAATACATTTTTCTATGAGAAAATTAAAACTAGAACATGGCAGTATATGACATTGTAAAACAAAAACAAAAAAACTGATCTTCCAATAGCAGCAAAACAATGTGAAAGAGATACAGAAAAGTGATGTGAATCGGTTTCCAAACTGTGCTGGGAAGTCATCGGTAGCAGCGAATCGGGAAACTGAGCCGCAGCCTGCCCGCCACGTGGTCCCGCCGTCGGCCCTCCGCACGCCCGCACGCCCCTCTGCGTCCCCGCCAAGCACCAGCCCTGTGCTCTCGCCGCCTTCGACTCTCCCTACATAGTCATTACAAAAAGGTACATAGCCAAGATGTGCAAATTGTCTGTTGGTGGTTAAAATTTTTTCAAAAGGAGGGGACCGGGGACAAGAATATGTTGGGGCTGAACTTGTTTTTGGGTACCCTAACTTTCTGTGGAACTCCGAGGCCTCTCAGATGGGGTTCCCATTTGGGAAACCGCCAAGACGGGCTGAGTCAGCCAAATCCATGCTCTCTGTGTTGTTCCTCAGGATCTTTTTCTCTCTCCTACGAAAAAAGACCTAACTTTGACAAACTGTATGAAACCTGCAACATCAAAGGCAAAAAAGTGTGTGTGTGTGTGGGTGTGGGTGTGTGGGTGGGTGTGGGTAGGTGTAAATCAAGGGGAGATTGCATTACTTTATAAATCATACTGGCCTTATGAACATCCTCTGCAATCCTCTGCAATAAATATTCTTTTTAGCCTTAACTATAAATTATATATTTTAGTGTTTAAAAACCTTCCTAACCCTTAAACTACGCGTTCTCTAGGTCAACCTTTAAAGGCCCCCTATGCTTTCAAACACCAGTTGGCACCAAGGACTCCCGAACTTCCACTGCTCTACAGAGAAAGGAATGCATCATCCTGGCAATGTAAGAATGCACTTCTTGACCGGAAGCTCGCCTTCAAGAACATCCCCTTCCGCTAACTCCTTAAGTGACATGCACTTGCCTCGCCATCCTGTCTGCACACAAAGACGTGAATATTCCCAAACCATTCCATTAAGAAACTGCCCCCCCACCCGCCCTCCACACACAACAGAAACAAGAGAGGTTCCCTATAACCACTGGATTGAAAGTGCTTTGAAATGGAATGGTTCTAGAATATTGAGAAGGAAAAAAGAAAAAAAAAAAAAAGGAGCTGTGGATTTCACCTGGATGTGAGCAGGCTGCAGGTCTGTGGGGGTGAAAAACCAGCATCTCATCAACAGGCAACTACAAAAATAGGAAGATTATAAAAATAGAATATATTACGTCGCTATGGCGGTTCTCTTTACCAGCAGCGCGGGCCGGGAGTCGGAGCTGGTTTTCCGTGTCCGCTGTGCCGCCAGCCGGGGCCCCGGCCACCCGCTCTGGGTCGGGCCGCGGCGGAAAGAGGGCCAGCACGCGACCACGCTGAGCTCTACGCTACGCTAACTGAGGTTACATCAGCCACGGACAGGTGAAGAGGTTACACGCCTACCTACGGAATAAAATAAAACACGCGCGAAGGACTGATAAAGTGACTACATGCACGAGCAAGCGAGATGCAGGGTACCTAGGACCGCCTTAAAGCCGCGCTCCTCGGGGACGGCACGCGAGTGCGTTTGCTACCTAAAATCCTGTCTACTCCAAAAATGGTTGGTTGGCTTTTTTCTAGTTTTTAAAACGTTTTTATGCTTTTTTTTCCCGTTTTGTTTTAAACACATAAAGAATCAAATCTAATCCTCCCCTGCAGACTCGTTCCTTGTGTTAATGCCTATCCTTAACAACACAGAGACACAAACACGTCCATATAAAATCTAGTTGATTATGGGGTATAAGATCCTCTATTTTTGTAGCAAACCTCCCCCCACCCCCCAGCTCAGGGTTATGCAAATACTATTTCTTTTTTCTCTCCTTTTTTTTTTTTTTTTTTTTTAAAGACAGTTTTTCTTCTTTTGCTTAAGTCAGAGACGGAAGGGAGAAAAGAGCAAAGGAAACAAACCCACAGTAAAGGAGAAGGAAAGCTTTCCCTTCTGGTGGTGACCGGTCCTGGCAAGGAGCACGGTCCTGTCGGGAGCACCCGGGGCCGGCCCCTCCCGCGCACGCGCGCGAGCGCCCCCTCAAATGTTCACGTCTCGCACGTCGGTGGGTGTGCAGGCCAGGTCGGCCTCCTCCTCCTCTTCCTCCTCCTCTGCCGCCTTGGGGTCCAGGCTCTGCTGCTGGGCCTGGCGCAGGCTGGACTCCAGCAGGGCTTCGATCTGCTCCTGGCATGCCCGGAGACAGTCCTGGCCAGAGGGGAGACGGGGGTCCTCAGATGGAGCCTGCCGCCTGGGCCCTCCCCCAAACACCAGCACTTGATCCGTTTTAGAGAAAAGCAAGGCTCATCTAAAGCACTGCTTCCCCCAGATCGGGTGAAGGACAACATGGAGCCAGTGCCCAAACCCCAGGACCGACCAGCATGGGCCCCCCACCCCTGCCGGTGGAGCGCACACACCTACTCAGGACCAAAGGCCCCATGCAGGCCATCTTCCGTACACGAGGACGCCCTCGGCCTCCCGTCCGGTGTCTCCCTGGCCTGCCCTGAGGCCCCCGGGGCCTGAGTCCCCCACTAGAATTCCTCTGCCAGCCTCTGATCCCAGCTTGCTGTTCCCACCGGCCCCGCCGCTGCCCTCAGCGGATTCGGTGCCATTTGATCCAGGCCAGAGAGGACCCCTGAGCCCTGCTTTTCGGACTTAACCTCTGCCGTGTCAGCCCTTGTGGTGAACCCAGCCTTCCGTGATGAATGGCCGTCAAAAGCGTTAGGCTGTGCATGACTGAGAATGAACGTTGGGTGGCCTGGGTGGGGGGGGCCCGGACCCTTTGTCCCCCTCCGTCCTCGCCCGATTGGCCTGCACCCTGGGAGAACGCACTGGCCTGGCCCGGCGCCCTCCCAGAGGTCTCAACGCCCAAGAGGAATCTTGGGAGTCCAGGGGCCTCTCCTGGTCTCACGGGAGCAAATCTCCCGGCGGCTCGGAGGTGGCCCGTCCTAACTCCTGGGATGCCCCACTGGGCTTCTATTCTAGAACCAGGTAGAGTCTCCAGGCCAGCCTGGAAAACAGACCTGTGCCTTTCCCATAGGAACAGGGAACCGTGGACGCACCTGGGGAAGGTGCCGCTGAGCTCCCAACCAGGTGGGGCATGAAATGGGTATTCACTGCCTAAAAGGAGTGGATCCAGGCCAGCAAGTCTTCCGAGTGAGTCCCTGGGGCTCGGCCATGTTTGCAGAGCTCTACGTTTTTACACGGAGGGCCTTCCTACCCCACCCCTTCTGTTATTTGTCATGGCAAGTAACCAAGGCAGGATAGGTGCAAACAGCCAGTTTTACAGATGAGGAAACTGAGGCTCAGAAGGCCTGGTATGGAACGAAGGACTCCTGATAGCTTCCCCAACCCCCAGCACAGCCCCCCATCCCACCCCCGAGGCCCGGCGGCGCCCACCCACCTGCCCACCTGCAGTGGCTCTCAGCAGGCAGCTCTTAGGGGGCGACGGTTTTCTTGCCCCTGGGGACTCGGGATGGGGGGCTGTGTGGCGGAGGGGTGCAGGAAGGGACTCCCCCCGGCCGCATGGCCCTAACTTCTTCCTTATGGCCACTGAGGCCTGCAGCCTTAGCCCGGGAAGAGCCACAATGGTGACCGGGGCGGCTCTGGGGAAGGGCGGACGCAAGCTTGCGGCCCGAGGACACGTAGGCTCCAGGGCCCAGGCTCTGCTGCGTTGGTCGCCGGGTAACCAGACTAACGAATTTCAGTCTCAACTGATTTCTCCCCCGGCCCTCAGCTGCGATCTTGGTTCCGATCTACAGCTGTCTGTGCCCAGACTGTCTGTGGTGTGTCTCCCTCGCCGAGGTGAGCCGCAGGGTGACGCTGGCCAGGACACCCCATCCCTCTAGGAGGCCCAGTAAGCACGGAGACTGAGAGGGGACCCCCCCCTTCCAAGAACAGCCTGCTCCCAGCAGGGAGAGAAGCAAAAATGTGGTCCCCTCCAGGCAGCCGGCAGCGCTGGGCAGGGGACGGGCAGGCTTCTGCCCACAGCCCGGCTTTCCTTCCCTCCATGGTGCCGTGAGGCAGCAGCTGCTAGGGCCCACAGGGCCTCCGGGGGCCTCGAGGGCGGACCACCAGAAGGCAGCCCGAGCCTGAGCCCGAGCTGGACCGGGGTCAGGGCGGTCACTCGCTCCCACTCGGCACACCAGCGGAGGCCGAGGGCTGACCCGCCCACCTCGCTGGTCTAATCTGGTAAAGGCCACAAACCCCCGTAACTGTGATTTCCATTCTTCCTCTAAGACAAGAAAGGAATTGGGAATCCAACAATGGCGTTTTGAAGAAGGAAGACACAACCGGCCCCGACTTGGGGCCCCGAAGGCCGCAGCCTCTCAAAGGGGCCGTAAAACACGAGGTTGTCTCCACGGGCCATTGTTGTGCCTGCAGACCTCACAGAAGCCTTTTCAAGCCCCCATTTACGAGCCATCCGCATTGTGGCCCAGACAAAGCCCAACTGGGCCCCAACTCCACATGCCATTAGGGCACGGATCATTGACGGGCCTGCCTTGTGGCCCCTCTTCCTGGACGGCTCCCCGGGAGGGCTGTATGGCTCCCGCCTGCTCCTGGGAGCCCCGGGGGCACCAGAAGCCTGAGGACCCTCCTGGCCCACCCACAAGTTCTGGGAGATGCTTCTCCTTCCAGAGGAGCCCCAGGAGAGTGGGGTGAGGCTCGCACCCTATGAGCCTGGGCCCCGGTCCCATGCCTCTGAACACGGCACCTGTCCCGTCCCACACATGGTCCCCCCCATCATCTCTGGGGCCTTGGCACGAGCCACGGCATTTCCCATCAGTGAATTTGCAGCTTTGGGCCCCCAGGTACTAGAAGTTTCTAGCAGAAGAGAAGGATAGAAGCCAAGCTAGCGCGGGGGCAGTGCCCTCGATCACTTACCGCATCACACTTAATCACTTTGGAGAGGAACCGAGTGAGGCGGTGGTAGGACAGGAAGCTGTTGGAACTCCCCAGGTGCAGGCCTTGCACGGCGGCCACCACACTCCCAGCTGCCACCATGGAGGGCGGGTTGGAAATGAACTTCACATCTGTAGCAGAGAAGGAGAGAGGCAAGGGGGCCGTGAGCTGGGGACCCTCCATGGGACCCGTGATCCCGGCAATCCCAAGCACCAGCTCCACATCAGGGTGCGTCCCCGCCAACGGCTGGCCTGGGCTGTGGATTCTGAGGGCGGGTCAGGAGGAGCTCCGGCTCCCGGCACCACCCAGCGCTGGACAGCAGAAGCCAGGCCTGGGATTCACCCAACTCGAGCTTGTGACGTTCACTTGAAAACAAAAAAAGCAAACTGAGGAAACCTCCACTGGCAGAAACAAACCACAAAGGCCTCTGGGGAAGGGACAAGGGACATCACTATACTTGAGCCTTGGGAGCGTGTTGCTTATTCACAAAATTTTAAAAAGGTGACAGACTACAAGGAACAAGACGTGTGGCCGGGCCCCAGGGACTGGGGGCGGCCCATCAGGTCTGCACTCTGGGAGGGGCACACGGGTCTCGCCGTCCCCCAGGGCGGCCCTCCGGGAGTGCGCACAGGACAGCACTCCCCGTGGTGGCATGGGATGCTTATCCCCACTGTATCTTCCTCCTGGGACCAGCGGGGGTAGCGTTTCCTCACTACCTCACCTGCCAGTCACCAGCACGCCGTCCCCTCTGCCCCGAGGCACAGCTCAGATAGATGGGGGGACTCCTGCTTTTGTTCCTAGGCTGAGCCCCAGCACCTCCCACACTTGTCATGAAAAGGTGGGGAAGCGGGAAGGATGTGTAAGTGGCCGCATGGAGCCTGTGGGCTGCCATTCTGTGGCGCCCAGTGAGGAATTCTTGGTGGGGGAGGCCGCTGATTTCTGCGTCTCAATGGGGGGGGGGGGCACCGACGTGCCGTCTTTATCAGCCCTTTCGTCCTGTCCCCTCTTGTGTGCATGGAGTGCCAGGACCAGGCTGGGTGAGCTGAGCGGGAGGGGATTCGTGGGCCCAGGGGTCCCACCCCAGTAGCCCAGCTAAGGCTGCGTCCAGGGAGCAGACTGCAGGCCTGGCCCAAGGAGCGTGGCCAGGCAGGGGGCTGGGGAAAAGGGCAGCCACCCTGGGGAGCGACAGAGCCCGCTGCCGGGCGCCGTGAAAGAGAAGTCCCTCAAGAGGCAGCCACCTCTTTCCCTCTTTAAATGAAAGAGCAGTGCCACCCAGTCTGAGCCGGGAGCCACGGACGACTAGCTTTTCGTTGAGGCACATCAGGGTTGCAGACAGAAATTGCTGCCGTCCCAAGTTTGGCTGGACCTTGAGACCAAGCGGGATGGTGTAGTGGGGGCAGGCTCGCTTCCGAAGCCCGCCTCCCCACGAAGGGTGTGCGTGCATGTGCGTGTGCAGGGCTTACGCATGTAGATGAGGAGAAACCCCACTGCATCCCTGAAGCTCCGACACTTGCTTCCACTCTGCCTAGTGCAGAGAGCCTGGGGCCGTGGCCGGAGCCAACACTGGGGTCATCGCTGACCCTTGCTAAGACCTACTCACTAGCTTCGATGATTCGTCAGCTTCCCACCAGCCCTGGTCATTTGCTTACCTAACCCAAGGCAGCACCCCGAAAAGCTCCAGCGTACACAGACGTACATACACATTTACAGAAGAGCGTGGGGGATGTGTGCACATGTGTGGGAGACCCAGAGCAAGAACAGAGCCCCCCCCCACGGCATCATCAAGCGGGACCCTTGATATGGGGGACAAAAATATCTCCTGGGGTTTTTGCTCACACCTCCACCTCACTACCGTCTCTGCCAACCTGCTTCTGAGCTGCCATCACGTCACTCAAAAGTGAGAGGCCCCCTTGTGACCAAAGGCCCTGCTGCGTCTCAGGTATGTTCGAACGGTGCAGGCAAGGATCAGGACCCGGAGAATCTTTCTGAGGGCCCTGGGGGGGCGGGTGACCCTCTCCTCCTCCTGTTCCCTGTGGGGCCCCACCAGCCATCCCCCCACCTTCCCTCCAGGGAGGCCCAGGCCTTTGGGTGCAGGCTGCAGCCTGCAGGCCGGGGGGTGCTTGCCGGGCCCAGTCTCAGACAGAGGCCCGGCGCTCACGCACACCAACCCATGGCAGCTGGGAAGTCAGCGCCGAAGCCCATTTAGGGCCTCTGCACCAGGCCTGCTCCCCGCACTGCCAGGCACTGCATGCCGGCTGCACACCCCACTTCCCTGGGGTTCTGGGGGAGGGGGAGCTCCCGGCCGCCCCCGCCATCCTGGGGGGGGAGGGTGTGCAAGAACCGTTCCTTGCATTATCTCCAGGAAACTTTGCCGTTTCTCTGAACCACTTTTAGCTCCATAAAAGGCTGCCTGGAAGTCTCCAGAGGCCTCTCTCTTCCGAGGCGCCCCAGCCAGAGAACGCCTCCCTGCCTGCTTGCGGGGCTGGCCCCTGGAGGCCGAGGGGATGGCCAGTGGGAGGCTCCCTGCCCCTGCCCCGGGGCCGGAGCTGCCACCCCTCAGATCCATCCAGGCCCACGGTGTCCCCCTACTCCTCTCACTTGGAAGGGCTTGGAGGAGAGGGTCACGCCTTGAGCAGGAGGCGGAGGATGGGGGGGCCGGCAGAATCTCCCCGACTCTCGCCCGACCCAGAAATAGCAGCCATCGGAGCACCCTGACATCAGGAGGGTGCCAGGAGATGCCAGACTAGGGGTTCTACCGCTTGTGGGGAGGGAGTGATAGACGCCAACTTCGCCCTTGGATGCTGTGTGGCCCTCCGGTTGCCCGCGGTGAGCCCCAAACACACGTGACAGCTGAGGCCTGACCAGGGGCAGAGGTGGCCCACTGCAGAGCTGGCTGGGATGGGGGCATGGGTCCCCAGGCAGGGTTCTCCACATCTCCTGGGCCCCGCCCATGCGATCGCAGGGAGAGGCAAAGAGGTCACAGGGTGTCAGGGTTAGGGCTGGGGGAAATGGGGGGCGACGCGGGGCCTGTGTATGTGGGTGTCTGCGATGAGGGCTGAAACGCTGGCTGCCTAGGGGCTGGGGCCAGGGCGGTGTCAGGGAGGGGCCTCCAGGGACCATCAGAGCCCTGCCAGGGGGAGGGAGGGCTGGCCCCCTGCTGCCAACGGCAGCAGCCCAACCCCAGGCTGCTCTGAGGCCCCTCCCAGGACTCAGCTGAGCTGCGCCGGCCTGAGACACCCCTTGGCGGGGCCTCAGGCGGCCAAGCTCCTCTGCTGGCCGCCCCCGCACCAGGGCTGCTGCTGGCCGCCCAGAGCACGTGGTGCAGGCACTGCGGGCCGTCGCTCCCCACCCCTGTAGGCGCCCCTGGCAGGTGGCCCAGCCCGGGAGAGGCCAGAAGGGGGCCCCTTGAGGACATGGGGAAGGACTGGTGATGGGGGGGCGGGGAGGAGGACAGGAGTGGGGGAGGCAGGCTGGGCAGCCAAGGTAAACCCCTTTCAGCAGGGAGTGGCCGCAGCCTGGTGGACCACCCACCCCCATCCCCAAGGCACTGCATGGTGGCCGTGGCCAGCCTCAGCTGCCTGACCCAGAAAGGGACCCCCCCACCCTCCACCCAGCCCCAGCACTAGGTCCAAGGGAAGAGGAGCACCTCTGAGAGCAGTAGGGCCTGGGGCCCAGCTCTTGAGATGGGGAAACCGAGGCAAAGGGCAAGATGCTCCTCCACCAGGGGCAAGGGGGCACCCATGGAGGCCAGGATGGGGGACCAGCAGGACCCAGCCGCCCTACCTGTGGCACAGAGAGCAACGAAGGTCTGTGCGTGCTTGCGGATGATCTGTCTGTTCTCCTCGGCCACTGGCATCTTGGAGAGGAAGTGTTCGATGAAATCATGCGGGGTCATCGCGGCCAGGTTCCACTTGAGTTTGTTCACCAGGAGCAGCTCCATTTGCTGTGGAAGTGGGGTGAACAAGCATAAAGTGAGGTGCAGGGGGGGAGCTCCGGCCCAGAAGAGAAAGGATAGGGCACGTTGGGGGTCCAGGAAATGGAGGACAGCATGCCACCCCAAAAGAGATCCCAAAAGAGAGGGTGCCTGGAAGAGGCCAACGGTTCCCAAGCGGGGACAAAAAAGACCCACACCTGGAAAGCAAGTCCTTATTGTAAGCAGCGCGGGCTGCCCGACGCTGTCGCTAGAGGGCGCGCGCCGCCCACTTTTCGGCCTCGCTAGGGGGGCAGACGAGGTGGGAGTCCGAGCTGCAGTGTGCGGTGGGGAGCGCTGGGGACGGGGGGCGGCGGGGGTCCCGCCCGCTCCCCGAAAGGGGCCCCGCCGGTGTGGCCGCCGGTGCTCGGGGCGTAGGGTGCGCCAGCGGCGTGCGGGGGGCCGCCCGTCCCCTGCACCTCCCCCACCCCCGGGGTCCAGGGGCGCAAGGGGCGTCGGTGGGCGGCGGGGGTCCCAGGTTACCAGCAGCTCGTCAGGCCGGATGGAGTTGTCAGTGTAGATGCACAGCTTCTCGGCCGTCAGGGGGATGGTCTCCTTCATCTTCGAGGCCACGAACATGCAGGTGGCCCCCAGCAGCTGCAGGCGGCTCTTTTTCACGGGCTCCAGCGACAGGAAGCGGTCCAGGTAGTTCATGGCCAGCGGGAAGACCTCCTCCTCGCACTTCTGCTCCTCGCAGACCTGCCGGGGCACGGGGCCGTGACCGCCGCCGCCGGGCCCCTCCGCGGAGACCCCGCGCCCCCACCCCCGCCCGCGCCGGGGTCGGGCGTGGGGGGCGGCAGAAGCGCCCGCGGCCGCGTCCCCTCCCCCGCAGGTCCCCAGTGCCCACCCACCCCGAAACTGAAAGGGAAAGTCCCCGGGAGGCTGGCACGGTGGGGGCGGGAGTGGGCACGGCCGGCAGCGCGCGGCGCGCGCGGGCTGCCCGCCCCGGGGACCCCGGCCCGCGTGGGTGCTCCGGGGCGCGCCGGGCCGGGGCTCGCCCCCAGGGGGTGCGGGGCCGCGGGGCGGGCCGCGGGGCTGGGCGCCGCGCTCACAGCGCCTGCGAGACACAAAGGTGGCGTCCCAGGCCGCCGCGCCGCATTTCCCCAGACGTCATCTTTTCAAAAAATATTTAAAAATATAAAAAAAATAACTGGGCACCTAAGAACCCCCTGAAAATGACCCTCGGGCGGCCCTTTACCCAGGTCGGGGGTCGAGGGCCCGTTGCAAGCTCCGGGGAGAGCCCCAGGAACTCAAACTCGGGGCACCCCCCTTCCCCCTGGGCGCGGGCGCCGTTTCCCTCTCGCAAGGGCACCACGCCGTACTTTCAAAAATTATTTTAAAATATCTGCGGGCCCCCCGGGCGCCCGCCGAAGGCCTGAAAGTGTGCCCCGGGCCGCCGGCTCGCTCCAGAAAGGTCCCCCAAGCTGAGACCCCTGCGGACCAGGGTCAATCCCCAGTGTCTTGGGGGCCACGCGACCTTGCAGCTCGGCGTGCTCGCCGGCCCAGGCTGGCCGTGCGGGGCGCCCCGGGACTTGCAGCTCGAACAAAGGGGCCCCTCTTCCCGAGCGGGGTCCCCCCCGAGCTGCCCGCGCTCCGTCCCGGCGCCCCTCCCTTCGGTTCCCGGCGGCCGCGCGGCCCCTCGCGGCGGCCCCAGCGCCTCGCCGGCCGCTCCCCGCCCCCACCCTGCCCCCAATTATTAATAAACACTTTTGCTTTGCAATAAAAGAACAAAGATGGCGCATAATACTGGCACGAGCGGCCCTTGCATACGTGTCCATGGATATTAATTTAAAAATCAAATCTATGCCCCCTCCCCCTGGAGCCGGCGGCTCGCAGCAGTGCAGCCGGAGAGGAGGCGCAGCGGGGTTCGGGCGCGGGAGGGGGCCACAAAGGGCGCCCAGGCCGCCGGCCCGCACCCTCGAGCCAACTGGGGTGCCCCTGGCAACTGGCTTTCCCCGAAGGGTCCCCTCCCCGACCGCTCCCCCCCCACTACCCCCGCCAGGACAGGGAATTTCAAACGACCCCACCCCCACCCCTTTTTCGTTGGAAAAATACCCACAATATCTATATATTCTGAAAATGCGATTCCTAGCAACACCCCGGCAAACTTCAAAGTTGGGGTGGGAGAGATGGGAGGGAGACGAGCGGCAAAGAAATGTGGGCTTGGGCAACAAGTTGCAGGAAAAGTCCTAAGAGAGCCGCCCGAAGCCCCGCACCTCCAGCATCCAGGTGGCCACGATCTTCCGCATGGACGGCAGGATCTCCTTCTGCACACACTTGAAGTAGGACACGGAGGGCGCGCAGGTCTCCTCCGCCTTGAGCATGGCCCGCAGCACCCGGTCGTTGAGGAGGTTGGCATCGGGGTACGCCCGGCGGATGGTCTCCACCTCGCAGCATAAGAGTTGGTGTGCCATGGCTGGGGCTCTACTGGGCGGCCTGGGGACGGCGGTGGGTCCCGGGTCGGTGCGCGCTCGGCTCTAGCTCCCGCTACCCCGCGCTCCCTCGAGCTCGTCTGCCCCTCGCCGGAGCGCGCGGACGCTGCTGCTCGCTGCTACTGCGCCGACAGCCCTCTGGAGGCTCCAGGACTTTGCAACTTCCAACAAAACTCCCCTGTAGTCCGTGTGACGTTACTGTTGTTAAGCAGAGATCAAAGCCGGGCAGAGAATGGGAGCGGGCGGGGGGGGGGGGGGCGGCTGGCGGGCGCAGGGGGAGGGGGCGCGGGCTCCGAGCGCCGGGGAGCGGAGAGGGGCAGAGCCCAAAAGCCATCCCGGAGGCGCCGCGCCTGCCCCGCGGCGGAGTTGCCCCCGAAGCCTGGTTTTCATAGAAATGCAAATCGCCCGAGGCTGCCTTTCTCCCCGCGGGGAAAGAGGGGTGCAGGGGTGCCTGCCCTCCCCGAGGGGGTCCCCCGGGATTTGGGGGGTGGGTGGAGGTGGCTCTGCAGGGGGGACAGCTGGGGTGGGGGGCGGCCAGGCCACACGCAGCCGGGGGTGACCGCATGGGGGGGGGGGACTCTGGGGCTCGGCGACACCCTGTATCCGAGCCGGGAGAATGGGCGCATTTCCGAGAACGCCACGAGGGCACCCACGGGCCGAGAGGCGGCCAAGGGACCTCAGCGTCTGCATCTTCTTTCATTTTCATTAACACGTGTAAATTTCAGGAACCACTTAGCACTCGGGGACGCCGAGCAGAGTCCGCGACCCTGGTGGAGACTTCGTTCCCGCGCCAGGGGGGTCGTTGCAAATGCCCGAGGGGGTATCCCTAAGCCATAAAGGGATTTCAGCCTAGCATGTGCTCGCTCAAAAAATAAAATAAATAAAATAAATGCCCGAAAATTCCAGCAGCAGCCCAAGATGGTGGCCAGCATTTCCTTCATCCTGTCCTCCTCGCCTGGGGGATCTGCGGGTTGTCTTCCTACCTTGGCCAATACATCCTTTCAGGGATCCCCAATCCCCCCCCAGCCCCCCACGCCCATCCCGGCAATTTAAGAACTAGGAAAACGCCCTGAATGGAAGGCTACAAAATAGTGGTCTCTGTCCTGACTTATTTTTTAATAAAAAAAAAAAATTAAATCGCTGGAAATATTAGTCGCTTCTCTTGCCTGTGACAAGACCACGGGACGCTTCCTAATTGGTTTTGTTGGGGGTATGGACATCTCTGCACCTTTACAATTAGCCCGGGGCTGCATTCGTGAGCCTGTTGGGGGGGGGGGATGGCAGGGGCTGGCAAAAATTAGAACAATTGTTAAATTAAAGAAATGGGTGTATTGATCCGGTTTTAAACAAAATCTAGATATATTAGTGGTTATACGAGAGGGAACGCAATGTTATCGCTACCTCAAGAGCCATATAAAAGAATATAGAAAAGTGGGTTTTTAAAAATTTTTGTTCAGATTTAGTCTCTTTGGTGCCTTTTTTTTTTAAAAAATAAAAGGACATTTTGCCAAATCTTCAGGGTTTTTTTTGAGAAGTTTTCACACTACTTGCCCCCAATTAAGAAAACTGTTCATTTACTTCTCTCTGAATATAGTTTAGTGTCACCCAACCGCCGTATCCCCTAACACTAAAGGCTCAAAGAAAACGGATGAAAAAGCCCCCTCCCCTTCGCACGGGTGCACGCAGTCAGACAAGACACCCCCCTCTCAGGGCTGAATCTTCGCGTCCCCCTCCCCCGCCGGGAATTAGGGTTACTCATATTCCGGGTCCAGGAGGGTAATTACCCCCGGCTCACGCCTCGGAAGCGGTGGGTGGCCCGAGCAGGGAGCGCCCACCGCCGTGTCCCCCTCCCCGGGCACCCACGCTCGCGTTGGCCCCGGGCACGCCAGTGCCTCGCAGTAGCAGCAGCCCGCGCACGAGGGCGGCCCGGCTGCCTTTTCATTCATAAAATCCCGACCGGGCGGCTGCCCCGATGATTTATGGGGCTGCGCGCTATCACCGGGCGGCTGCTGCCCGCCGGGCGAGGGGCCCGAGCCCCGCGGGCGCCCCGGCCCGGCCCGCGGAGGCCGGCGACGGCGAGGGGCAGCGGGTCACCAAGAGGCTCGCCCACTACGGCAGAACGGGCTCCGGGTCCGGGAGGGAGCTTCCCCCTAACCCAGGAGAAAGACAGAGGAAACTGGAATTAGCATGAGCCAATGGGGCCGCGGCGCTGTTACTAGGCGGACCGGGCAGATCTCAACTAGGAACTTCGTTGATTTCCCCGCTCAGGGACGGGCGCAAAAGTGCAAGCCCAGCCGGCGAGCGTGAAGAGCCGTCCAGGAACCCGCGGGGGAGGCGCAGGAATTTGGGGCCTGGCGGGGAGCGCCAGTGGCCCAGCCCCCATCCCGGGGCGCCCAGATACGCGTCCCTGGAGCTGTAGAGGGGTCCGCCAGCCCTGGGCCCTTGAGGGCGGCTGCTTCTAGGAGGGCCGAGGACGCGTTTTTATTTTAATTTTTTTTTTTTCCCCAAAGAGAATAGCAACTCTTAAAAACTTTTCTGTTGCAGTTTTAATCTTGCATTGCCTTTTAAAAACCCACCACGAGGCAGGAACTGCGAATTCTGGGCCCATTTAAAGTGCTCTGCGCTCATATCTCGGTGACTATTCGGAGACAAAGGACCAGCGACCCGATCGGGAAGGCACTACGTTGGTTGGAAAGAAAACCCAAAAGTAACTTAAATCACCTTCCCGCTTTCCTTGCCGCCCACCCGTCCGCAGGGGAGACCGCGGCGGGCCGGAACGGATCTCCGGCCCCGAGAGGGCGAATTCCGCGGCAGGCGCGTTTGCCACCGTCCCTGGCTGTGGGAACCTTCATTCAGGCGGGGGAAGGGAGCGCGTTCATTCAGGAACCGGCCCGCCGCGGCGCCGACCCCTGCTCGCACTGCGGCTGCGCGCCGCCCCGAGGGGCGCTTTGGGGAGGGGGCGCGGGGCCCCGTGGAGATCTCCTTCTGGCGTCGACCTCCCGCAGCCGCCCACCCTACACGGGACCGGAGGGGGCGCACCCAGGCGGGGTCACCTGCAGCGGCATACCTGGCGGCGACTTGAAAGGACTAAGCCCTTAAGTCGCTCAGGAAAATGCTTCCGAATGCGGGCCGCGGGGTCCCGGGGCAGTGGGGCCCCCCTTCCCCCACCCTGGTCGCCCCCGAAGCTCCTAGAGGTGCCTGCGCTGCAGCAGCTCCGCCAGGGCTACACGGGGCGGACTCTTGGCGCTCCAAAGCTGCGGGGAGCGCCGGGACGAACTCTGGGTCCGGCACCCACCTGGGACAGCCACACGCTGGGAACAGGGCAGCCGCACCTCCCACCGTCCCAAGCCACGGACTTGTTTCCGCCCCTGATCAATTAATTTTGGCCACACACAGACCAACCCCCTCCCCGAGCCCCAGTCGTCGGTCTGGCAGGATGCGGGGGACGGGACACTCCTCCCCCAGCTCTGAAGGCCGCGAGCAAGGTGTGCCCGGAGTTAAAAAGCAAACCCCAACAGGTGCTGCGGGGGCGGGGGGGGGGGGGGGCGGCGGCTCACAACGCCTCCGGTTTCCCTAGGGAGAAGGTGCACTCCTAGGGGTGAAAGCATCGAACTCCTTGAACTTCGTCCCTCAAAAAGCATCGCCTGGTGCCCTGAGCAATATGAAACCCCCAAATTCGCTAGGAATTCCCTGGCCTCTTGACTCAGGCCCCTGGCCCGTCTTTAGCCAAGTGAGGCGGAGTGGGCACCCAGACTGAGCACGTAACCACCTCCAACCGAAGCAAAGAAATCGGTTGGGGGGCGGGGGTAATGACCTAGGAGGCCAAGTCCCATCCGCTTCTCCCTCCGCCAAGCTGGGCTGCGGCCTACCCGGGGCGGAGCACCCCTGCGGAGACTCGCGCGGGGGGGGGCAGGGGGAGGGGCTCGGTACCCAGCCGGCCTGCTCGCTGGAGCGGGACCTTCCCGGAGGAGGACCCGTGCTAAGACCTGTGGGCTCCCGCAGTGTTCTCCGCCCCCCTCCCGGTAAGGGCTCGACGCCTCCTCATTCGCCTGGAGGATTGGTCACTCGCTCCCCATCCCTGCGCTTTCCCAGAGACTGTGTTCGGGATGTGACCACATCCTCGTGCCTCCTTCTTTGTGCCCTTGGAATGCCCGAGAGCGAAAGCGTTTCCACCCTTCGCTTTGGCCTTGGGGGTGGGTGGAGGAATGGCCGAGGTCTTTATTATGGGGAGCCTCCGAGTTCTGGGGCTCCAGACACTTGCCAAGAGGGGAAAAGGAAAGGAAATTCTTTTCCAGGTGCGGGGAGAGGGGCTGCATACCCAACGCCCTCCACCCCTGCTCTTGGGTCCCCTGGCCTCGTGCGGTCGGGGCTGGTGGCGGCGGTCACGGGATTGGACCCTTTGGGGAGTTCTGGGCGTGCGGAGTCCGAGGAGCCCGATGGTCTGTCCCCAAACGCCGCCAGGGTGCTTGCGCGGGGCTCGACCTGCTCCGGCGACTCCCGGGCGATCGGCGGTGGGGGGGGGGTTCCGATTGAGGAGAGATGGGAGGCGAGGGCGCGCGCCGCGGGAACCTGGGCCTTGGCTCGGGAGCCGCGCGGGGCCGCGCAGCGCATTCCGCACATTCCCGCCCGGCCTCGGTTCCGCCGCCACGTGGTTGCTCTGCGCGCCGCGCTTACCGTAAGGCTTGGAGAAGGCGCGCACCCGGGGAGCGGGTGCGGACCTCCCAGGGTGCGGGACGCGGAGGCATGGATAGATTGTTTTTTTAAACGCAATAAGGAGAGTTGTCCTGCTGGAGTAATGACATTGATTTGTAAAGGCAGACAGGAAGAGTCTCAGGCCCTGTTGGTTATTTGTAATTGGGTGACCATCCATTTGAGGAACAGGAGTGACCATTAATGCCTTCCCAGCGGTGACAGAGCTCAGAAAAGGAGCTGCAGCTTCTGATCGTTTCCTTCTACTTCTCCTTATTATTCAAAAGCAGTGGGCAGCACAGCCCAATGCCCTGCACAGTTGGGAAGCCCAATCTGGGAAGTGCTTAGCCCATAGGAAAAGACCCAATAAACTGGCTACAGCTCTTTTTTGGTAAAGTTCTGAAGGGTCTTTTTCTGAAGATTAGTTCAAGATAAAGAGTTGAGCACATCCCAGGATCCTGAGCAGCTGACCTTAACCAACAGGATGCTTGCCTCTACCTCTGGGTCCCACTGGCGCCCACAGGACCCCAGCTAGGCCGAGGTCCCCCAGGCTGGGAGGGGTGCGAGGAATTCCAAAAGCTGTCCAGATATTGCCACCTCTCCCAAACCTCGAGTGGGCAGAGGGCTCACCCAGCAATCTCCGAAGCAAGGATGGGTGGGGAGGGGGGAAGAAAAGGCTACTGGAAACACATCAGTACCAGCAGCCCTCCCCCCTCCCCCTTGAGACATGCCCATTTACTCAGAATCTGGGCTACTGGAGGGTTGGAGAGCAAGCCTCCACTCATGGACCCATCCTCATTCCTCACTTCTCCTGCAAGGTACCCCACCCCCAGGCTCATCGCTGTCATGCATTTAATCTTCAAAACAAACCCCAAGAACACACTTGGTGGGTGGGGAAACTGAGGCACCTTATCCAGGCTCACACAGCTGGCAACCGTGATGTCCTGCTGTCTAAGCCCTTAGGCTGTACCTCCCTCAGTGTTCATGGACACTGTCAGAACCATTTCAGGGCCCTTTGATGCCGATAAGGATAATAATCTACTTTTTCAAGAATTCCTGCAAAACCAAGCCATTTTTTTCAAGATGTCAGGGAGTTTGCAGCCATATTTCTGAAACTGCCAAGAGTATCACCTACAGACCTGCCTCTGCCAGGAGCTGTGCGGTCTCGGGTGAATCTTTGTCTTCATCTGTAAAATGGGGTATGACTTCACTCTTCCCAAGGCCACAGAGCAGCATAATTAAGGTAATATGTGTGAAGCAGTTTGCAGGAAGGCCTGGTGTATGTCAAGGCCGGTTCAGTGTGTTCATTCATGTATTTGTTCTTGTGCAGAATGAAGGCCATGTGATGCACGGTGTATGTGGACTTGATTAAGCATTTCAGTTTCTATCCAGAAAGAGGATTTTTAAAAAATGGCTTTCTAGTCTATAAACTTGCTTTTATTTGCTGACTTCTCCTGAGCTGTCTGTGGACGTGAGATTTAAATCCTAGAATGCATTTTTAAATTAAAAAAAAAAAAAGTTGAACCACATTAAGCTTCCCTTCTTCCTTCTTGCCCTGGAAAAGGAATAAAAAGGTTTATTTATAAAGTAAGTACACTGGGGCTCCTGCGTGCCTCAGTCGGTTGAGCATCAGAGTCTTGATTTTGGCTCAGGTCGTGATCTCAGGGTCGTAAGATCCAGCAGCCCATCGGGCTCCATGCTGAGCAAGGAGTCTGCTTGAGATTTTCTCCCTCCCTCTCCCACTGCCCCTCCCCCATCCACGTGCATGAGCCTTCTCTCTCCAAAAAAAAAAAAAAAAGGTAAGCACATTCATTAAGGGCACAAATGTCAATGCAAGGAAGGGGGACAGATATAAAAGTGGGGGGTTTCTTCTGGGTCCAAGAGGGCCGCTACCCTACGGCGCTGCTCAGGTCTCTTGGATGAACAGAGCTTGTGCCTGTCTTCCCGCCACATATAAGGAGCCACTCTTTACTCAAGGGGAAGGGGGGAAGGCAGTCCCAGGTGAAACTGGCCAAAGGTGTGGGTCAATGACATGGCTGAAAGAGAGGCGCAGGTCTCAGGAAGCCATGAACCTGACTGTGGGAGCCCGTGGCCGGGGCACAGCTTGGCCTCCAGGTCTTGCTGCAGTGAGAGGAGGATGGGGAGGGTGGGGAAGGCTGGCTTAAATGTTTAGCTGTGGTTGGAGCCTCGTGGGGAGAGAGGGCTCTGGGACCCGCCAGCCTGGAGGTGGAGTCTCTACCCCCGGGGTACTGATGGGGCAGGGGGGCCGACTCATGGGGGCGCCTGGGCCTCCACATGACTTGGGAGCCCATAGGGAGACCTGGAGAGGCTGAGAGGCTGAAGACAGGCTCCTAAGCCCTTGGGGGGTAGGCATCGCGATTAGGACCCCGAGCTGAGTCCTAAGTAAAGAACTCGGTATTATATCCAGCCCGATGGCCACAGAAGATTTACCAATACCAGAGAGAAGGGGTGAAGCGGAGTGGGCCAGCCTAGTGCTCACCCTCCACCTGGAGCCTTAACCCCTCCTCGGGCCTGACGAGACCCTGTGACAAAGGACCACACATTGTTGGGGGGGGGCTTAAAATGACAGATATTTGTTCTGTCACAGTCTGTAGGTCAGAGTCCAAAATCGAGATGCAGGACTGTGCTCCCTCCGGAGGCGCTAGGGGGAGGATCCTCCCTGGCTCCTCCAGCTGCTGGGGGCTCCGGGCTTCCCTGGGCTGGTGGCCGCACCCCTCCAACCTCTGCCTCTGTCTTCATGTGGCAGCTCCTCTCTGTGTTCTCTTTTTCTGACTCTTATAAGGACACTTGCTATTGGGTTTAGGGCCCACATGGATAACCCAAGATGATTTCATCTCTAGATCCTTCCCTTGATTACATCTGCAAGGACCTTTTTTTCCAAATAAGGTCAAATTTACAGGCTCTCGTGGTTAGGAGGTGGACACAGCTTTTTGGAGGATACTGTTCAGCCCGCTAGGGCTAGGGAGAGGGAGAAACTTGGGATATGCCTTGTAGCAGCTTAGAATAGGCAATCAAATTCCTGTGTTTGGTCTGAGTCAGTCCTTATTAGCCGTTTAGGGGCAAGGAGACAGGCCCCAAACATGACTGAGTTACGGTGTCTGTCCTCCAGGGCTTCCCATGGACACCTGAGAAATAATGCATGGAAAGCTGCTTTTACACGGGAATTCATGGCCAAATTGGCAGGTGCCTTCTGCAAGCTACTCTCCTCCTTGTCTTGCTCGCTCCTCTCCGGAGGTAGACAGGTGGAAGTCCCGAGCAGCCTGATTGCCATTAGCTTTCTGACTGGGGTGAAGAGAAAGGCTTCACCCAAGAATGAGGAAGGGTAGAGAATGAACAGGCAAAGAGGGAGGAGAGAATGTTCTAGATGTTTGGACCGCACAAGAGAAAACCCTGAAGGGAGACAGTGCAGGGTCCATACTTCCGTCAGTAGCGAAGAGTCTGAACTCTCCCAGGGTTTCACTAGCTTGAAAGCAAAGTGGCTTTGCTTCACTAGCCCTTCCTAGTCCCAGCTCCTCCATGGCCCATGCACGTGACCTCGCCCTCTCTGAGCCTCCGTTCCCTCACCTGTAAAACGCACATGATGATAGTGCAGACCTTGCAGGGTCTCCACACAGATTAAACAAATCGGGGGAGCTAAATCTGGTGAGTGCCGCCGTCATTAGCAAAGACCCACCCTGAATCCTGCGCCCCGAGGACTTGAGTGGGGGTGAAGCACACCGCCTTCATTAGGTCCCAACCAACTCGCCTTCCCATTTATTTTAAAAATCAAAGGCTTCTATAAGCAGGGTTGATATTCTTCCAGCCAAAGGGGAAAATATATGTGAAGTTTTCCTTTCATTGCCCTGTCCTGGGTGAGGATCTTTCTCCTCTGTTTCTCTTTGCTTTTGGAGTGGTCGAAAAGCAACAGGTCTCGAATGCCCTTGTGGTTTCCCAGGTGACAGTCACAGCCGCAAGGGGAAAGCCCTCAAGGGTGGGCTTCACAGTCACTCTGGGGACAGTCCCTTTATCCCCATTTTACAGACGGGGAAGTTGAGGCCAGCAGGGGTCCTGTGGCCATGGTGGAGCTGGGATGCCTGCTGGCTCTGACTCTAAAATCGGGGGGTGGGGGGGTGCGTGGGGGGAAGAGGTAAATGACAAAGCACCTGCAGATTGCAAGTTTCACTTTGTAAAAAACAGCTTTATTGAGATATAGTTTACATAGCACGTAGTTTCCCCATCTAGAGACAAGCCAGTGGTTTTCAGTATATTCGCAGAGCTGTGCAGCCATCACCAAGATCTAACTGTAGACCATTTCCATCACCGCCGAGCGAAGCCCTGTGCCCACTGGCAGTCAGGCGATCCTCCTCCCATTCCTCGGAATCACGCTGCTGTGAGCGCTGGTGAGCGAGGTTTCGTGTCGACGCGTTCCCACGTCCCCCGTGTAGCCGGGCCCATCCTGAGCGAGCCTCCAGCGGCGGGGGAGACGTCGGGGCTTTAGCTCTCCGGGACCCAGGAGACGCTTTCAGAGAGGATCTCTCAGCCGTTTCCCGCCTCCTGACTCACCCTTGTCTGTCCTTCCGTCTTGCCTCCTATTCCTTCGGCAGGGAGCTCATCAAGCCTGGAACCACAGGCATTTATAAGGAATGTTTTTTTGCTGTGACACCAGAACCACCGTCCTAAGGAGCCGTGTGAAGGTCAATGCTCTGTGAAGACAGAGGAGAGGGTGGGCATTACCAGCGGCCTTTGAACAGGCGTCTGCGGGGCCTCGGCTCCGCCTCCTGCCGACTCAACCCACACCTTTAGCACCCCAGACATAACCCAGGGTATCAGGCTGTAAAGGGAGAAAATAATCTTAGCCATGCTTCCAGACTCTTTCCCCTTCTCTGTCCCCGCAGGAACCCTGGGGCAGCTGACTCGCCCTGGGACAGGGCTCTTAGGGCCGCACCTCTGCGGTTAGGGAGTGGGGGGTGTGTTGGTCCTGTCGGCCCCCTGATGTGTGTCCTCCACCCCAGCCATGGGCTGGGCTGCCCCAGAGCAGGCAATAAGAGCTGGTACCATGACATCGGAAAGCTAGGGATGTTCTTACACCTCAGTGGGGATAGGAGCCCAATCTCCTCCCTTCCCCCTAGCATCCCTACCCACTCAGGGACCTGAGTCTCCTCTTTTGCCAAGGGGGGCAGCTGGAGAAGGTGGTCCCTCGCAGGGCCAGTAGAGGATTAGAGCGAACCTGCCGTGTGCCTGTGTCCCCGTTCCTGGGGCTTCTGCTCAGAACAGACACCATCCCTGCTCCCAAGGAGCCTGCCTTCCAGCAGGACAGGTGGACATGCCCCCCGGCCCCCCCGGCGCTGAGTCCTGTAACAGGGCAATGGCTGACGGCTGGGAGTAGGACCCCCGCCCCCAGGAACCCACTGCAGGCTGTTGACGGGTGTATTATCCACTGCTCCATAACAAAGGAATGCGACTGTCAGCATTAAACAAGCAGCGTGTCCCTCATGCAGTGTTTGCCTGATGGTAGTAACTTCGTCCGAAGTCAAGGGAATGTGCAAGTGTGGGTCTGTTTATGTCCCGTCCCACTGGGCTAGGGTTCGGGTTTAGGGTTTTCAGTCTGAGGTCACAGGGTCTGGTGACGGGGTCTGGGCCATGCAGTCATGCTGCAGAGTCTGGTGGGAGCGGCCCAGGGGCCTCCTGAGGCAGGATGCGGGGCATGGTGTGGTTGTGTTTCAGGCTGTCTTATCTCCCTTATTCTTTTTTTTTTTTTTTTTAAAGATTTTATTTATTTATTTGAGAGAGAGCATGAGAGGGAAGGGGGTCAGAGGGAGAAGCAGACTCCTGCCGAGCAGGGAGCCCGGTGTGGGACTCGATCCAGGGACTCCAGGATCATGACCTGAGCCGAAGGCAGTCGCTTAACCAACTGAGCCACCCAGGCGCCCTCTCCCTTATTCTTGCCTGTTCTCTCTGTCTAGGTTTTCTTTTCTACTTAAATCCACCAATGCTGGGTCGTGGCCTTAAAACGCACGGGCACATGGCAGAGTTGTGGGCTGTGAGGTTGACGTACAAAGGCCAGTTGCTTTTCTATATCCCAGCAGTGAACAAGTGGAATTTGAGATTAAAAACACAATCCCACTTACATTAGTGCCCCCAAAAGTGAAATACTTAGGGGTAAGTCTAATAAGACACGTACGTAAGGTCTACACGGCGAAAAGTCCCAAACTCTGATGCGTGAAATGAGAGAACTAAATAAATGAACAGAGATTCACGTCCATGCATGGACAGATGCCACAGCGTCTAGACGTTGGCTCTCCCCGGCGTGGTCTGCAGATCCGGTGCAGTGACAATCCAAGTCCCAGCAAGTTATTTTGTGGATGCTGACGAACGGATTCGTAGTTTGGAGGCAAAAGACCCAGAATAGCCAACACAATACTGAAGGAGAACCAAGCTGGAAGGCTGACATCACTCAACGTCAAGATTACTCTAAAGCCACATCCTAGAGCTGAGCCCCCGGTTATGCTAATGGTCACCGGGCTCTGGGTGTGACTGCTCCCTCCCCAACCCGCCTTGCCTGACACACTTGAGGACTCTCCCTCGTGATGCCACTCTGTACTCAGGTGCCCTCCAAGGCTCTTCAAGCCCTCCTGAAGACAACCTACAATCACCAGCCTGGCATTCCCAGACCATGTGCCTGAATCAGCTTCTCCCTTGCCTCCCACTCATCCCTGTAAAACGTCCACTCCTGTCGTTACACACCCACCACTCCCCTATTTCTGCCCTTGACCTTCAGCTGCCCCGTGCAGTGGTGTCCCCTGTCCCTAAGTGCATCGCACCTTGGCCTTCAAAGCAAGATGCAACTGCCGTGCAGACTCTTCCAAAAGCCTGCTCTGTGCTCAGCTACACCTATCAGCTCCCACTGTGGGTGCCTCTCACTCTGCTGGTTGCTTTGGGTAGGACTAATGTCCTACAGAGTGACCACCCTGTTGCCTCCCACCACCGTCCCAGCCTTCCCAGGAGCTCGTGGACGGGAGAGACCCCACGTGGCTGGCCTTGCAGGGAAGACCTCTCTTGGGAGTCTTTGGAGTTTGGAAAACCAGCTCTGAGCTCTGACACAGCGGTGGGCTGCAGGGCGGGGCCGGGGCCGGGGCCGGGGGGGGGGGGGTCTGTCTGCGAAGGCAGCTGTTGGAAGTCAGGAAAGCACAGAGGCTCCTCGTGCCAAGGGGCCCCACACTGGAGCACCGGGGCCACCGGAGAGCCCACTCATAGTGCCCACTCACAGTGCCCGGCGGCCGCCGGGGGCAGGGGCAGCCAGCCTCTGGCCAGCGCTGTCAGCATGGGTATTTGTTGTTGTAGACTCGGGCTTTCAATGCACAAAACCTCCTCAAAAGAAGAGGGAGAGGAAAATTACAGGGAGACTGCCCAGGAACTTTGCAAAATTGGGAAAATGAGCGTGCTCCCCATAGCAGAGCGTGTTGGCCCATCCCCTCGACCCTGATTAAGGGGAACTGGTGTTTGTGGGGGCGTTCAGCAAGAGGCCTCTGATGGGGAGACAATTTTGTGGCTTCGGCCTGTAATTTGGATTCGAGGGCTCAGGCATCGTTAATGTGATAAACTTGCAAACCTCCGCCTGCGACCAGACGTAGAGCGCAGCCCGCACAGGCAGCCATCCATCCCGGCCGGCCGGGCAAACGTTCTGCTCCTGAGTCCACGCATGGCCAGGGAGGACTTTGAAAATCTGGAAATACAAGTCACTGGTCTTGTGTATCACCTAATTCTAATGCACACTGCTGTCAACTTTCATTTTTGCTAGACTTTGGTGTTTGAGATTATCTGCGTCCTAGGCAGGACGGGAACCCTCCCTACCTTACCCTGGGGTCCTGCACACTGTAGGGGCTTTGCACAGGTATGTTGGACCAAGGAATGAAGGAATCAGCAGAGCTGAGGGTGAAAAAGACCCGTTTTGGGGCTTGAAGAGAGAGTGGTGGCTACAGGCCAGTCCAGGTCGGGCCTTTGCCCCAAGAGATCTCCCTGACTGTCAGGGTCATTTGAATGTCACTGGGAACACATGGGCTCTTTCTGGCTAATGACCACTTCAGGATGTTTCTCTTGCTTCCTAAATCACCAAGGTCAGGCTGCTGAGTGTGTGTGTGTGTGTGTGTGTGTGAGAGAGAGAGAGAGAGAGAGAGAGATGTTGCAGGGGGAATTGGGAGGAGGGAGGAAATGGTTGGGGAGGGAGAGGGAGGAGGGTGGGGTGGGGTGGAGAAATCAATATCCAGCCGTGGGTCCCCACCATCGCTCTGTCCCTGCAGGGTCCCCTGGGCCTGCACTGACCCCCGTTGCCCTCGAGAACGTCCGTCATCCGTTGGCATATGTATAGTCTCTGATGCTCTGGTTTTTATACCTGTGTGTCTCTGGTTCAGTCCCCCCTGCCTTACGATGGGACCAATGTGGGGTGAATTCCCTGCTGCCCTCCTTTGGGCTGGGAGGAGATCAAAAATTTTTAAGCAGGAATGCTTCCTAGGAAACAGAAGGCAAGCCAGCAGCACAGGAGACTGAAAAAGACACGAATGAGTTTATTTGGTGCAAATTTCTGGTCCTGACTGACAGTCAGATCTAATCAGGGGTTGGTCGGTTAGCTGAGCCGACACCATCGATGGGGAACTAGGCTCCTCTTCCTCCCCTTCCTAAAGGTTAACAAAGATACATGGAAATCTAATGCTAAGTATACTTTCCGGTTTGACTTCGGCGGGGCATGTGATTTTTTTATAAGATCTCTGGTTTTCCCAATTAAACAGGGACCCTGCACAATGGCAGTGGGGAAACAGGACTCCGGTGAATGACCACAGCTCCATCTCCTCCTGTTCAACTCTGCAGAACGACTTCAAGAAGAAGTGGAAAAAGCCTGCTTAGCTACCTGGCCAATGAGAGAGGACTTAGCCTCAAAGGATTCTTCGTAAATACAGCTGAATTGGGTAAGCCTTCCTACGCTGGGGTAAATTCAGGTAGTTTCAAAGTTTTGCTCTTATAAATAACATCTTTATACAAAACACTTTTCTTATTCTCAGTCTGATTCCCAGCAGCCTTGTGCTCCGTGAGATGTCAACAGTTATCATAAAAGGATTCTGAGGCCAAATCCACTGGGTAAAGGCTACCTGCTCTTGGAGATTCTCAGGGCACGTTGCATGTAAAGGCACTGAGAAGTCCTGCAGTAAAAGCCATGCTTGCCTGTGACCAGAGCGCTCTTTTTATGTCACATCTACTGACATCCTGGGGCAGGGTTCCAAAAAGTTTACTTGGGAAACACTACCTCCGATCATATTTTTGAAAGTCATATAAAAGAGTATAAATAGCTTGTCTTTTCTCCTCAGAGGACGAAAAGTGCAGTCAGAGGACTTGCCAGACAGAAGCAGATTATGGCAGGCACCACCAGCATGTGGAGGGGCACGGTTTTCCCGCCACTCCCCCCACACAGGGTCCCACCACTTGGATTCTTTTTTGGCTGGATTAAGAGTCCAAATAATGACGCTTCCATATTTGGTGTTTTATTTCTTTAATTGTTTGGTGTTTTATTTCTTTAATTGCTAGCAAAGAAGCTTTGCATTTTCCCGTGTGCCAATTTGTTTTCTGAATTTTCTGGTGTAGACATTGTATTTTCTTCTTCTTTGATCACTTGTTAAGTTGAAGCTGATATTGATCTCGTATATTTTATAGTGATCGTTCCTTCATAGACCCGGAGAGTTAGCCATCTTTATTTATGTTTATTACTTTCCACATGCCTGTTGCCCTTTTTGCATTTTATCACCCATATGATTATGTAAGAAGTTATTTTTATTTTTATTTTTTTTTACATAATCAAGCCTCTCCATTTTGTCTCCAATGAGATGCTCCCTGCCCCTTTGCTTTGGTCAGAATTCATCTCCTTTGCATGGATGGGAAAATGCTATTCTCTTTTCCTCTTGCTTGTTAAAGCAAATCTGAAAAAATAAAACGTGTGTTTTCCCAACATACAAGTAATACTTGTTTCTAATAGAAAATAAAAATAAGAAAAAATAACGTACCAAAAAACCCACCTGCAATCTCACCACCCAGATCCATTGGTAATATTTTTGTAGCTCTTTCCAGACTTTTCTCATGTTTATATGCAAGCTTACAAATCGTTCGAACTTTAATTTCTTCAAGCGAGCACACCCGTGTGCACACACACCCTTCTCCCTCTGCAGTCCTTTCTTCTGCTTCAAGAGGAATTTCAGAATTTCAAGGGCAATTTTAGAATTTCACCGTGAATTTATCATATTCCTAAAAGTACCAGTAAAAACAGCTCTGGGCTTTACTCAGTCTGATGGTGTTCAGGGAAACCGGCTTTTAGGGAAGAGAAGCCCTGATCTGTGGCTTTTGCTGATCTCTGTGGTGTGGATACCCCCACCGGGCTGAGCTCAAGCTCTGCATGATGTCACCAATGGCTTGTGAATTTCCTGGATTTTTAGCCATCAGCTCCCACCTGTTGGCAGGGACCCCCTTGTCACCGTTACTATGCTTCTGCTTCTCATCAGGAGCACTGTAGAGTTCTGCTCTTTGTTTTCCTGTTTTCCTCTTATTAGGGTCTTATCATGGCCTTTGAATAAGCGTTTTGTGTTCCCCAAGTAAATGGATACTCAATTATTTGATTTTTAATTGCTCTTGAAATCTCTTTTGTGTTACATGTGTATTCTAGTTGTGTGATATTTATGTGAGACACGGTTGATACACATTTTTTTTATGTACCATATCTTCCAGAATTAATTTACTAGCCCTTCTGATGGCTTCCCTAGGTTTATACTCATGACTCCAACAAGACTGACATTATTATGCCTTCTATTCCTATATTTAAATGTTCCTTCTTTTTCTTATTAGCTCTCATCAACATTTCTGGCTTTACATTAAAATAGGATCTGTCCCTGGATGGGGCACACTGCAGGATGATTTTGATTTTCAGGGCTAATGAATTATTAATTCAGGAATACTGGCTGTTGGTTTTGAAATTCACAATTGTCATCATGTTCAGAATAAAACCTGTCACAGGGATTTTGAAATGATGAATTTTTTTTCAAATGCCCCCTGACATCTATTGAGATAATTAAATGACCTTTTACTGCTTCTCATGCTAATATGATAGATGGTGTTCCTGCTTTATGGACACTCAGTCTTGAGATAAACCCTGCTTGCTTGCTGGGGACACTTCTCTTTTTTTTAAGTGCTGAGATTTCTGCTTGTGTTTGGAATTTTTTTAAATAAATTTTTTGGGGTGGGGGATGGGCAAAATAGGGGAAGGGGGACTAAGAGGTACAAACTTTCAGTTAAAAAACAAGTAAGTCACAAGGCTGTAAAATATAACATAGGGAATACAGTTATGATATTGTAGATAACGGCGTATGGTCACCAGATGGTGACCATGCTTACCATGGCGAGCTGGTAATGCATGTAAGTGTCCAATCACTCTGTTGTGCACCTGAAAGTAAATACTATTGTATGTCAGATTCAGTTTAGAAATAAAATAAAATAAAATAAAATAGGGGCGCCTGGGTGGCTCAGTCGGTTAAGCGTCTGCCTTGGGCTCAGGTCATGATCTCAGGGTCCTGGGATCGAGTCCCAGTCGGGCCCCTTGCTCCGCAGGGAGTCTGCTTCTCCCTCTCCCTCTGTGCTGGCTTGCTCTCTATCTCTCTTTCTCTCTCAAATAAATAAATAGATAGGTAAAATTAAAAAACAAAAATAAAATAAAATGAGTGTTTTGTTTAGGAATGACTTTTTTTTTTTAAGGATTTTATTTATTTATTTGACAGAGAGAGACACAGCAAAAGAGGGAACACAAGCAGAGGGGGTGGGAGAGGGAGAAGCAGGCTTCCTGCGGAGCGGGGAGCCCAATGCGGGACTCGATCCCAGGACCCTGGGATCATGACCTGAGCTGAAGGCAGACACTTAACCATCTGAACCACCCAGGCGCCCCTAGGAATGACTTTTGATGGCGCAGGCTTTCCGTCCACCCCTCACGCAGGCTCCCCTCTTGTTAACGTCTTATGCGACCGTGGCGCGCTCAGCGGAGGTGAGACCTGGCTGCGTGGGCTCAGTAAAAACGCTGTTGTTTACTAAACCCCGGGCTGCGTGGGCTCTGGCTGGTTTTCCTACTTGTGTTTGGATTTCTGAGTCTCTGTTTTGTGAATGAAGCTAGTCTACACATTTTCATTGTTCTTTACATTTGATCCGAAACTGTTGTGTGGTCCCCCTACAGCGTGCCCCATTTTCATGTGTTTTTACAATTGTTTATGGAATGGAAGAATTACTTATTCCTGGAAGGATATGATCTTCCCTGATTCGGGCAGGTGGGTAAACGTAGGGGGAAGGTTAAGATGTTGTGATAATAATCTGCGTTCTTGCTCTTCTAGAAGAGTCTAGGAATGAGAACCATCTTTCCCTTCCCTGTCTCTCCTTCCAGAGGGCTTGTGAGTCCTGGAGGCAGGGAGATCAGGGCTCCTCTGCCCCCCAAGTCCGGGGCTCGTTTACTCTGGTTTTAGGAAAGGGTTGAAATGGCTCAAGAGCAGGTGAGGCTCAGGTTTGCGTCCGGCGGCTGGACCTGGTCAGCAAGACGGGGGATTTGTTTAAAGGGGGGCATTCTGAGAGTGGAGACGACCCTTGCCCTGTCCCCCTGCCCACCCAGGAAAGTGGCAGGCCTCTGACAGGATGGCACCTGAAAGCCAGGGTTGGGGAAGGACAAGGGGGTTTGGGGTGACACTCAGGTGGTCCACACCTGGCACGGCAGGATGGAGCTCCCTCTCAAACGGCCAGTGAGGGCAGCTCGCAGGTGACCCAGATGGCCCAAAGACCAGCGGCCCCTCCCGCACCCCAGAATCATGTAATCCGACCACCGCAGGTGGACCTGTCCAGCTGGGACTTGGCCCTGGACCCCCACATTCATGAATGGCGCAGCCATTGGGTATCTGCCCTGGTCCCCTAGTCTGAGTTACAGACCTAACATTTCCGAGATGTCTCCAACGTGTCCAGGCTCCTGACACCTCCTCACCGGCAGCCTCCCCATCTGGGCCGGTCCTGATTCTATCCCTCCAGCTGAAGCAAAAACCTTGCGGTTAACCTTGACCCGGGTTTCCACTCACACCCACGTCCAGCCCATCAGCAAGGCCTTTCAGCTCTGCCGTCCAAATAGGTCTTGACACTAGCAACCCCTCCCACCCCCCCCTGCTATTTTCCTGCCTGAGCCGCTGTGGTCTTTGGCATGGATCTTGGTGATGCGCTCCTGCACGGCCCCTCCATCCCTGGGTCAGGCTGCGTCCTGCTGTGGGAACAAAATCTCCAGCCTCAGTGTCAGAGATAACACAGGCTTCTTGTTTGTTCATCAAGCGGGTCAACAAGGGGCTTGGCCCAAGGCAATCCCAGGGGCCCAGGCACCACCGTCCCAGGCCAGGCTGGTCACGAGGGAGCATGAGGGTGGGGATAAGGGGGCACCTCCCTGGCAAAGCATGCTCTGGATTTAAAACTGTCCGCTCAGCAGGGTTGCTGGCATTCCACTGGCCTTCAGGTGGGGAGACGGTGCCGTCCTATCATGTGCCTGGAAGGAGACGGAGCTGGAACATTTGTGGCTGGTTCCAATCCCCCTGCAGCCTCTCTAGACAATTCCCCGTGTCACTCAGAGAAAAGCCAGAGTCCCTCCAATGCCCCCAGGTCCTGCTGCACTTCACCTTTCCCACTCGCTCTGTCCTTCCCCGCTATGACTTCCTGTGGCCCTGCTGGCCTCCTGGCTGGTCCCCCAACACACTAGACATGCTCCTGCCTCAGGGCCTTTGCACTGGCTGCTTCCCCGAGCTATCAGCTGGCTCTCCTACGGGCTTGAACTCTTCAGATGCGATGCTCTCAGTGCAGCCTGCCCTGCCCACCCAGTGCATCCCCTCTGCCCAGCATGAGCCCCCCCGCCCAGCCCTTTGCTTTT